CTTTCCGTAAAGTCACGTAGGTATACAATAAAATAAAAAATAAATCACCACGTTTCGATTGTAACACAAGCAATCATCATCAGGTGGGAAAACCACAACAAGAAAATGTTCTTGCTGTGGTTTTGCCACCTGATGATGATTGCTTGTGTTGCAATCGAAACGTCGTGATTTATTTTAATTCTATTTTATACCTACGTGACTTTACCGATAGAACCAGAGACTATTTATAACTGTAAATATTGTTCCTCGGGGGTAGGGGAAGTTGTAAAATTCCCGTCTGGGCCAGAACAGATGTCAGAAGTATCAGATACAGAACACGAATGCTCAGCCGCCCGGACCAGTGGCAGGCTAAATGCTCACGTGATTTAGCAGCCAATTTCAACAAATTAAACGAGCAGCGAATATATTTTGGTATAATTTATATCGACGTCATAATGCTACAATATTGTTATACTTATTTATTAATTTTATTTTTACGAGCAATGCCTGACATCAATTCCCAATATTGCATGCATGATTTATACCGGTGGCGCATTATATGCGAGTGTTACGTACGAAGATCGAATCTATTGCATACAGGACCAGACGCAGTTCACTGGAGTAATTTGCAAACAATGAGGATGATGGTAAGCTCAACGTTGATATGTAAGTGGAGGTAATAATGAAACGAGAAGATAATAGTAATACAATTAAACATAAACGTTCAGTCCTCTGTCAATCTACTGCTGGATGGAGGCCTCCCCTGGTGCTGTGTTTACCATGGGGGGTTGGGGGGGGGGTGTTTAACCATATTTCGCCATGCTGGTTAGTGTGGTCTGGTGATTATAATAAAAAAAAAAACAATCCTGCAAGAATCATACAAATTTACGTAATAATACACTTTTTTGCTCTATTTCTGCAAAGTAATTTTATAATAAGAAATGTAATGTGAGGTGCTGATTGGACTACTATACTAAAGTTAATAGGTACTTGTGAGTCGGAGTTTTCTACGGAACTATTTTTTGTACCACAATGAATGCTTAAAAGTAAAAATCATTTGTAAAGTCAGCAGTGGAGGTAGTTTGACCAAACTTCACCATGCTAGTCAGTACAGGTTGGTGCTAGACTTAGTAAATCATACTGGTAGGAACCTCCTGGTTACACCAGCCCACATGGGATTATTGTGTCCGTCGTGCAGGGAGGGAGGGGCTGGGTGGGGAGGGAGGGGAGGGTGGGGAGGGGCTGGGTGGGGAGGGTGGGGCTGGGTGGGGAGGGGTGGGGAAGGTGGGGAGGGGCTGGGTGGGGAGGGTGGGGAGGGGATGGGTGGGGAGGGTGGGGCTGGGTGGGGGGTGGGGCTGGGTGGGGAGTGGCTGGTCACCCCGTGGTGCCCTTATAAAACTCAACGTTTAACCTACTCACGCCGGCTTGTGCCCGGCCTCACAGTCGGGCATATTTGCGGAATACACCACGCCGCCGTTGACCCTGGCCATTGACCGAGCAACCCAACGTTCCTACCAGCTCCCTCCGCAGGAATGTGTTTAACCCCATTGTCATACCCAAGAAACGTAAGACGTCCACCTAATTGCCTTTTAACTATCTCAAGAGCAAGAAGAGGAAAAGGTGACAAAGCCTTTGCCGTTGCAGCACCAACCAATGTTTTAGAACAACCCTATTTCCTCCTTTAACATCGTAAATCTTCCATTTAAAAATATCCTGAAGAAAGAGATTAGTGCTGGATACAACTGCATTTGCTAATGTGATTTGTAACTTTCATCCTTACTCATGTATCGATAGTTACATCTGTATGTGCAATTTTATAGACTTTTAATTTTATAGAGGGACTGTTTTTGATGTTTTTTGCTGCCTTGCCCAAGCTTGGGAATTAGTGCACTTCTGCAATTTGGACTTACATACTTTTTATTTTATGTATAGTAAAAGCTCGGAGATCAAACGCACCAGAACTCGAACAAATCGGTGTTCGAACGATATTTACGAACATGTTTTGCCCCGGAAACCCAACGAAATTCGGAGGTCGAACGGGCAATCGCGACTTGAAAGAACCTGTATGGCTGAGACGCGTATGGCCAGCGTGCATGACGCTTGCCCAGACAAAGGTGACTCCCCTTCCAAACAATAACACCACCACCTCATCACCACCTTCCACTCAAGCCATCAACTCTCCTTACTACAGGTAAAGTGAAGTTCAATGTTCATTTATTTCATTTATTCCATATATTTATTCATTTATTCCATGTATTTATTGTGTTTCTTGGTTTTTTGTATGATTTTATGCATGTAATTACTGTAAACTTCGTGTAAAATGTTTATGAGAGATTTCTTGCGTCTGGAACCAATGAATGTAATTTACATTCATTCTTACGGGGAAAATTAATTCGGTGCTCGAACAAATCGGTGTTCGAATGGCCTTCTGGAACGAATTAAGTTCGATCTCCGGGGTACCACTGTATTCATTTTTATTGATTTGCTTACGTTTCCTATACTTTACACTCCTATCGATTTTTGTATTGTTGTTATAATTTTCTGACCCCACCCCTACTGGACATCTGTGAAAAAGAGCTTCATAGCTCATCGGATTTCCCCAGGGTAAACAAAGATTCTGATTCTGCATTAGGACCACTTGAGACATCACTTTCCACTGGTGTTAGCTGCGGCCCAGCATTTAACTCCAGGATCACAGCACAATGTGCTCACCACTGCATTTAGTTATTCTGCTCTTTATCCCTTTCCTATGTTCTACCCGTAAAAAAGAACCCACTACAAATGGATGTTCAATGTGTATTACATTCAGATGGAACTCATTTCCTAAACTTGAAACCAGTTACTTACACTTCAATAGAAAGCATTGCAAAATGGACGCGACAACGCTCCTCTGTCACCGCTCTCACCTGCCACACTGACCGCCGAAGCCTCGGAGCTCTGCGACTAAAGTCAATGTCTAATCTCAAGCACTATACGAACACAGACTCGATTTGGTGTAATGCTTTTGCGTGCTGGACTTGCAAACCAGAGGTCACCCGTTTGATTTGTTCTCTCAATGGGGCAGTTGAAACAATTTTATTTTCACCCCCCCCCCCCCCCGCTGGCTCTGTCCATCCAGCAGTACAAAGAGGTACAAAACAGCCGCCTGGCAGGTTACGTGTGGTGGGATCAAGTGTGGGTACCCCCACCTCTTCTAAGGCGTCTGGCCAGTATGGAAGAGTAGGCCAAATTACGCTCTGTAGAACAACTCTCGAGAGCTCCCTCGAGTCGAGGATCTTCTGCCAGCAGTTATTTTAGCAAGCTATTGCAGGGCTGCACCTTCGTATCGTCACACTACCGTATATCAGGAAAAAAAAAAGTTTTGCTGGCTGGCTTCCTGCCTGGATTCGTGGCTTCCTGGCAGGCTGGCTCGCAAGTGCGCGTGCGCAGTGCATGACTTCACCACGCACATCTGCGTGATTACGTCACCCGTATTCCACAGTGTCGAGCTGGGTGCGTGCATTGTGTATCCCGCACAAATGCGACGGAGGAGAGAGAGAGGAGTGAGGGAGGGAGGGAGATAGAGGAGGAAGGAACAGACGGAGAGGAACAGAGAAGAGAGGGGTGGGGAGAGGGTGAAAGGGCATGAAACGGAGAGGGAAGAGAGCAAAGTGGAAAGTGAAGGAGAGCGACACGCAGTGGGAGGGGAGGATTATGGAGAGGCAAGACAGAGATGGGATGGGAAAGTGGAGAGGTGGGAATAATGAGAGCGAGGGTGAGAGGTGACAAGGGAGAGATAGGAATGGCCGGGCTCCGAACTCTATTGCTAGTGGCTGTCACCGAAACTAGCTGGGCAACTGGCTAAACGGGATTATATGTTCTAGATGTGACGCTTTCGTGACTGCAAGGATTCATACTCTTAGGTTTTTTCGGCAAAGTCACGTAGGTAAAAATAAAAATAAATGATAAAAAATTATAGAAATAATAATAAAAATAATATTCCCTGTAAAAGAAAATAAATACAATAATATCCATTCCCTGACTACCACATTCAGATAAGCCCCTCCCCCTTAACTTGTATTTAAGAGCTTGTCTCTTGGATTTTGCCTCGCTTGATGCGGTAAATTTAGCTGTGACGGTCCCACCTGATGACGGAGACTTGTGTTGCCTCCGAAACGTCGTGATTTATTATTTTTTTTCTATTATTATTTTATTATTATTTATTAAAATTTTTACCTACGTGACTTTACCGAAAAAAACTAAGAGTATGAAATTATCTGTGTAGCAAATAAACATTGTATTCAATTTGAAACAGCAGAGGAAGTTCATAGGACGTAATATATAGCGACACCGACTATCTGTGAGGAACGGATACAGAAGACTGACACGGCTCATTTCAATTTGCTCGAACGTTTCAATGTGTGCTCCTATTAATGTTATCCTTTCGCCAAAATATTATTTAAATCCAAAATAATGTTTTTTTTAAACTCACAATACCTTTTGTTGCCAGCTAAATGGGTAAAAAAACAATTATCATATTTTGCTACTGGCAAAGGAGGTTCCAATGGTCACAATACCTATTATCTTGCAATGTTTTTCGTAAAAAATCTGATACATCTTGGTGCCCCCAGTACAGGATTGTGAGAAGAGTGTGGAAATGACAGAGCAACAGGCTCTCTACTAATAAAGTATAATATAACAAACATTTTGCTGGCTGGCTGGGACGGAAGGACGGATTTCCAAAGAATGTGCGGGTTTTTAGTTTACTAAAAAAAAATAGTAAATCCCATTAAATAGAATGGAGTGGGATTTGCACATATGCTCGCGAGTGAATACGCAGTGATATGAGAGGGATACATCAAGTGCTGGATGAGATGGAAGCTACATCAGTTGCTAGATGCAGCAATGGACAGAGACAAGCGGAATTGCCGTCGCAAAGGAAAATAAACGGTCGTGAGAAAATGGGCCGAAAAATGCAATGAACCAGACGAAGAGAGGGATGGCGGTGAGGGGGGTCACGTGTGTGGCTGGGCTGTCCTGACCTTGTCCCCCTCGTCGATGCCTCCGGGGATCTTGGCCGGAGGGTCCATGCTCAGGCGCTGCTTCACGAAGGACTCGACTTTTGCGTTGAACTTCATGAACACCACGTAGCTCACATAGCAGCTGAGCAGCAGCACGCTCTCCCACCACTTAATGAGGTTGTCGAGGAAAAAGATGATGAGCATGCTGAGCCCCACGATGTAGAAGGAGACGTCGCGGAAGAGCGGCCACCAGGTGAGCACGAGAATCTCGCGCGAGAACACGGCGCACATGCCGATCACGAACAGGATGTTGAAGACGGCCGAGCCCACGATGGTGCCGATGCCCACGTTGCTGTGCGAGATGAAGACGCCGATCAGGGACGTGAACAGCTCAGGTGCCGAGCCTCCGGCCGCCATGAAGGTGGCCCCGGCGACGTCATCGGAGATGGCGAGTTTTTCGGTGATGACGCCGAGCGCCGGCACGAAGAACTCGTCGCACACGATGGCGAGCGCGATGAACATGTAGATCATGCCCAGCATGTGCAGCACCACGGCACCGCGCTTCCGCTGCTCCAGGGTGAATAAGTCCCTCGGGTAATCGAGTTGCTCGTGCGAGTCCGTTTGGTTCATCTCCTTGGTCGACTGCGTGGAGTTAAGAGGACCTTTATTGTCCGATGTCATGCCGGCAGGCTTCCTGTCCCATCCGTCGCCGTGCAGTTTGGAATGAGGAGCACCGTCCTCGCTCTTTGACACCTTTCCGCCTTCGTCTATTGAGTTTCTCCCACTTTCGTCGAGTTTAACCACGTTCGCACTTTTGCTTTTCAACGAGGCATCCGTCGGTTTTAGTACTTCGCGTGGAGCCGCCTTGCCCTCGTAACCCTGCAGGGCTCGAGTGCGGAAAATGCCGTTGACTCTGGAGTCGAAGGTCACGGTGGCGGGTGGGCCGGCTGCCTTGTACGCCAGCGAGAGCACGGTGGCCACCAGGAGGGTTGCCACGAGGCCAAGCACCCTGCACAGCCGCAGCCGCCTCCTCTTCCCGTGTGCCATCACCTCCGGAATTCCACCAGCGACCGCGTGAAACTACCTGAACAAAATATATGCAATCCACACGCAGCACAAATCGGCGAGACAGCAGCGGTGGTGGTCAGCACTTCCACTCATTTGCCGGCCGACAATGTCAGAAATACTCGCCGTGCGACGATGGATCCCATCGGTGGTTCAGATCTTTCAGGACCCGTAAAAAACATTACTCTGTGCCCACGTCTGATGTCAAGAAGGCACAAGAGGGTAATTGATGATTAATGATGGGATTCACTTGAATTTCCACTCCTTTAGACAGTACCCTATAAGAGCTCTTGGCAATCCCAGCTTAGCAGGACAGGACCATCACTTTAATTAGCAGGCACATATAGCATACACTGTCACTGTCAAACTGCCAAGGAAAAAGAATAACGTCAAAGTAAATTGACTAAAACATTCGTAACGCATTTAGCAATGTCGAATGAGCAATACATGTAAGTAATTGTCAGGGGAGGCCAACGTTGCCCAGTGCACTTTTAGAACGTGTAATTTAGCGCTCTGGCAAGCGGTACAGTGTGCACAGCGCTGCCTATCTTTGCGGCCACCTGGACTGGTTTGGAGCCACCTGCTCTGGCAGCCGGTTCTCTCTATTCACAATGACATTTACACACACTTTCAATTGAATGGTATTAAGTGGTCTCTTGGGTAAGGAAGCCATGGGCAGCTAATCTCACAATGAGCAATCAATTGTCCCTTTGGAAGACACGAGGGTAAAACATTGAGGGTGGCCAGGCTGAGCACAGAAATTTAAAGTGTTAAAACTGATGGGTATTTTATCGTGCAGATAAACAATTCCAAATAGACTTAATGGTAATATACAGTGTCGACACAAAGGTTTGAATTAAGGGCTGTTCTAGTTTGTGTGGTCATGTTATATTCTTGTGTGTCAAGATGGTTATCCTAAAGTTGTACCTGCCAGGGTGATGGTGTGACTGGACCGATATTTGCCTGAGACAAACATCAATCAGTGTGGTTTTAATAATTAAAACAAAATCAGATTATGAAAACAATAAAAATCACACAGTAAAAATAAGGGCACGGACATTAAATTTGAGAATCTTAATTAGTTTTTGTTCTTCACGGTGTCGTATTGATTTGGGAGTCTATTTGGTTCTGCTGTTCGTTAGGAAGCGTAATAAAATAACCCAGATTAAACAAAAACCTCCCTACTTTCAATTCAGAATCGACACTCAATTTTAGAAGAAAAAAAAGTAAGTTGCTCGTTCGTAAAGGTTAAGTTAAAAAATATATTTTCAAGTTTCCCCTTCATCATTTGCAATACATTTTCCATCTCGAGATTGCTCTCAGAATACCCCCCGAGCTTTAAATACAGATTATTATTGATATTTACCGAGAACGTTGCTGTGTCATTAACATTTTATTGCTGGTAAATTTGCCGGGCGTAATTAATAACAATAATAATCACGCCCAATCATTATTCTTTTTATCAAGCACAAGCGTGAATAATGGGCAGAAATCAATAAATACGTTGTAATCCTGGGATATTTTTGGGGCAAATTGTCGTCTTATATTACTACCGTGTCATCTACCTTTTGTCGTCACAATTTCCACATTGCACTTTTTTATTATTAAAATGAACAGCAAAAAAAACCCGTACAAAGTTAATGCAGTCATTAACATCTGGTTTGTTTTTCTTGGTTCTTTCGGTAAAGTAACGGAGACTTTACCGAAATATCCAAGAATATGAATTCCTGCATTCACGACAGCTTTGAAACGAAATTTAAATCTTGACTGACGGCGCAGCCAAAAATGCAACAATTAGCCAGACCAACACAAATCTACGGTGAATTGGCATGGCACACCCCTCCCTCCAACACGACACAGTCTGTACCGTGAGCACCGCATTCCCGGACAGAGGGCGCTTTCTCCATATGCATTGCCATCTCTGAAAAAGTCACATCACATTCGGGTACCCCCGGAATTGTTTTTTTTGTGCGCGTAAGCGCGCGCGTGCTCTTCCTTGCGTTGTCAATTTGTAGTTATGTATTCGCTTACTCTTTGCCATTGGTGTTGTTGAGTGAGCAGGCCGGGGGAAAGCGGGCATATGCGTTTTAGTAATATAATTGTATCGCGCGCAGTTGTACGTAAATTCGTATACAATCTTTTTTAATACAATGTAGGCTCAGAATAATGCACTTTCATGCAAGCATCATCAACCTATAGTGCTACATATATACATTGAGCTGTGTGTAAGCACAAGCGTCGTGTTCAATGTCAGAACAGTGTGTTCCATATTATCATAATCCTTACATGTCCATCATCATCAATACACAGTGGTACCATCCCGTTCATGATGAATGATATACACTGTCATACTTTTGAGTATCACCATCATCATCTATACAGTGTCATCATCATCACCACCACCATTATTCTTAATTCACCATCGTGCATTTTGATATCATCATCTACGCAGTGTAATCATACGAATGATTCTTAAAATACTCGAATGCATTTCTATAGCACAGTCGTTTATATAACGTCATAATTATCATCATAATTACACATGAAACACTGCGAGCCATTAGTATGTCATCATCATCGTCATTGTCATCATCATCATCTATAGCGCTATGTACACAGAGCCGATCGCAAAAACACACGTACGCACAGAGTCACTGCGTAAAACCCCCACGAACTACACGAACACCATAACGAACACACACACAGCAGGAGAAAGCAAGGGCACTCTAGGTCGGTGGGAGAGCACACGCACGGCACCCCACGGGGAGAGGAGGAGGGGGGGGACCCCCTTGGCTTCTGCCAACCCCGAACCCAAAGCATCCCCGGGATACCCTTCAATCGGGACCGCGAAGGTGACCGCAGGCAAACCAATAAGGCGTCTCACGTTGCCCGGCCGGACTGCGTGACACAAAGGCAAAGATCTCCCGTGTAGCCTTAACAGAGTGTTGGGGCAAGTGCTGTCAGCGAGCAACTATGAAGACCGGCACGGTACGCATGGCGGTGGGTGGCCAGTACCACGCCCGACCGCCTTTGTCTTCCCAGTGGCGATGTTTACACACTGCACCAGGCACTAATTTGAGGCTGAGTCGACCCAGGGGAGGCGTAGGACCGGTACAGGTATTTGTCACCAATGTTGTCCATGAGCGGGAATAGAACTCGCTGAGTTCGTAGCGCAGCGTGCTAACCGCTGCACACTCACACCGACCGGGCTGTGTGGCACACACACATACTAAGCACACGCACACATACTCAACACGCACACACTCACACGTATGCACGAGCACACACACACACTCAACACGCACGCACGCCCAATTAACAGGGTGCCCTTTATCACGATTACGCATTAAAATGCCCGCGCCATCCGCCCTTGCGCAATTACGCATTTGTGGCTGCGTGCGTGCCGGCGTGCCGGTCGGAGACCCCCCCCCCCCCCCCCAAGGTTAGTGCGGCTGGTCGCCTGCACGCACGCACGCGTACCTGTGGGGTGCCTCCTCTGCGTGGCTGTGCGTGGCTTCTGGTGTCTCCCCTGTGTCCTTCTGCGATGAGGAGGGGACGATGATGATGAGCGGTCGGGATGGAGAAGCCGCGCGGCGACGTAGACGCCCTTGACTCGCCCTTCCCGGCGACAGATCGATGCCTGTGGTCCCTCGGCAGGACGGACGGACTGGGGTGGGAGGACGGGCTCTGCTGGGTGGTGGCTGCGCTGGCTGGAGCTGCTGGTATTGCTGCTGGCTCAAAACTGACACGACGGACGGACCGCGCAAGGCTGTTGAGGTTTTGCGCCAGCAGTGCCGGACGAATTCGAAAGGGGGTGGTGGTGGTGGGTGGGGTGGGAAAGTCCAGAGCGCAGATGAATACCGAGGGGCGCTGCCTTACAGCTCCCGATGCCTTCCCGACTGCAGTGAGACCCGCCCGGAATATTAATGCTCCATATGTATGAAGAAGGAAGCTTATTCTCTTTAGCGCCGCGCGCACGAGGGTCCGTCACTGGCCGACAGTCGCGGGCGGTGAGTGCGCCGCTCCGCACGACGGAGCGAGCAGGGAGCAAGAACAGCAGGAAGCTCCGAGCCGCCCGTACCCGGTCTCCTCCCGTGCCGCCACTCCGGCGTGTTGCTCCACGCGCTCCGTCTGCGCGTGATGCATAGCGGGTGGGATGCGTGCTGCCTGCCGATTCATCATCATCACTTCATCACATGGGGGCGAGGGATGGGGGATGGCAGGGGGTTGGGGTTGCTGGGTGGTGGTGGTGGTGCTGCTGGTGGTGGGGTAGGAGGAGGAGTTGGTGGGGGAGTGGGTGGGGTGGTTGGGATGATCATGATGCTGGTACTGCCGCTGTTGGGAGTGCGGGAGGGAGACAGAGTGGGAGGCAGTCGCAGCGCACTGTGATGTGATGTGATGACTGCATTCGTGCCCCATAAATTAATGGACGGATTTACTGGCCTCTGTCTGCACGGATGGATGATGATGAGGCATCTTCCCGGCTACTTTAGCTGGTGAGCTGTTATTGACTCAGAGGAAACAAAACAAGAAAGAATATGCTGCTAATAATACAGACACACACACACAAGCTTTCCCGCATCACACCTTCGCATACTCTTTCATCAAGCAAGCAAGGACATTTATATGTTATTCGGTTTTATATAGGCTCATAGATGGAATATAATGGGTTCATGTATTTTTCCACAAATGTACAATTTTCTGCTAAACAGACCCCCACTGTTAGGAAATGGACTTCCTCCCCAGCATCTGGCAATCCAGCAGCATATGTTTAAGAGGCCTGACTGCTGATGAGATGAAGAAAGTAGAAACCCGTCCAAGGTTTGCCTAAAAATACAATGCTTTCGAAAAGCCTATAAACGGATTTATTAAAGTGTTATTGTTTTATTTTATGGACTGGTTATTGTAGAATATGAACACGCACTACACATTTCAATTAGAATAATCATTATTGTTGGGGTCAAGGTTGTCAATTTAACGTGGCGTGGGGTGGCCTTAGTCCAGCAGTGGATTGACAAAAGGCTTCAAGCTATATTTGTGTTTTCAAATTTCCACAGGAACATTGAAAACATATACTGTATGAAGGCCGTCTAATTGCAGCATGCGTTAAACCAAAACATGAAACTAATACATTTAGAACCAAGAATATGAAACTAATAATCATTTTTTTAATCAAATGTATAATTCCGAGTACCAACATTTCGAGAAAATTATTCCGTTTAAAATTATGGGATGTTTTTAGAATCGTCGAACAAAAAAATACCACGTATGTTTTTGGGGTCAAGGAGAGGTCAACATTAACGTGTGCATTTTCAATCACACCTTTCAAATGAGCAATTTCCCATCAAAATTCATCCATTGCGGGTCAGGTAAATGATTAAAACATGCTCTCCCTTTGGTTTGTCATGAACAAGCATCGCCTTTCATCTGAAAATACAGAATCTTCTGTTTTTCTAAGTTTTAATTCGCATATGAACGTCTAAGTTAATAAAAATAGAGTGTTAAGTCGGCTTCTGTGTGCTATACCTATTTAAATTCATTATACAAGGACACTATAATATCCGGCGTGTTCGCTTCTCGATTTAAAAATTGGGCGGGAAATAGTTCTATCGATTCACACAACATGCTTTAAACCCGTAGAACATTAAAGTCTTTCATAAACGCTGCCGGAGTCATTGGCACAGAGCGACACAGCGGAGTTCAAGTGCCCTCTATCGACCGAACAGACGTGGCACAACCGAATCGACGATGTTTTGCTGTAGGCGCTTTGTGTTGCAGCAGCAAGTCTTGCACAAAGCAAGGGCAATCTTGGTGTAAAATCCGGTGGCAACACGTTGATAATTGTACGCGACGTTTACCGCGACCGTTACAAACACAATCCTGCGGAGGGAGCTGGTAGGAACGTTGGGTTGTTCGGTCAATGGCCAGGGTCAACGGCGGCGTGGTGTATTCTGCATATATGCCCGACTGTGAGGATGGGCACAAGCCGGCGTGAGTAGGTTAAACGTTGAGTTTTATAAGGGCACCACCGGGTGACCAGCCCCTCTCCACCCAGCCCCACCCCTCCCACCGAGCTCCACCTCTCCCACCCTCCCTCCCCACCCAGCCCCACTCCTCCCAATCCCCACCCTCCCCACACAGCCCCTCCCCACCCTCCCTTCTCCACCCAGCCCCAGCCTCCCTATCCAGCCCCTCCCCATCCAGCCCCACCCCTCCCACCTAGCCCCACCTCTCCCACCCTCCCCACCCAGCCCCACCCCTCCCACTCCCCACCCAGCCCCTCCCCACCCTCCCTTCTCCACCCAGCCCCACCCTCCCCACCCAGCCCTACCCCTTCCACTCCCCACCCAGCCCCTCCTCACCCTCTCCTCCCCACCTCACCCCTCCCCTCTCCACCCAGCCCCACCCCTCCCATTTTTGATGCACGACGGACGGACACAATAATCCCCTGTGGGCTGGTGTAACCAGGAGGTTCCTACCAGTAAAACAGAGATATGTGACACGGTGCGCCATTGAGGTTACAGAATGTGTGCTGTTTTTTTTTAATGAAAAATTCCACGTTCCTATGGAATAACACGTGCCGGAGAGTCAATACAGCGGTTTGTAAATTAATAAACACTTTAGATAATTCTAAAGTTACGAGTGCAGGTTCACGCTTGCAAGTTCAAGTTCATTTACTCGGTATAGCCCTGTGAGCCATTCGGCTCTTGAATCGGGTGCAACCGCATCAAACAAAAAACATGAACAAGAAAACATCTTAAAGTGAATATGTGACTATTAGCAAACAGAAAATCCAAGAAAAGACAGCAAAATATTGCAGTGTTAGCACTGGAGGTAAGGGTCAAGGGGTCACGCTGAAACTCCCAAGCCCGGCGAAGCTAAAGTTGTCCAGGAGACACATTAATGAATCCATCTGTGCGGACATTTGAGTGATCTCATCTCGTCGTGGGATTTCTCCCGACACAAAGACAAAGGTCCCCCGTATAGCCTCTAACAGACTGTTGGGGCAAGTGCTGTTAGCGAGCACCTATGAAGTCTCGCACTGTGGTACACGAGGGGGTGGGTGGCCAGCACCACGCCCGGCCGCCTTTGTCTCCCCAGTGGCGATGTTGACCAGGTAATCATTTGAGGCCGAGTCAACCCCAATGTCCTCCCACAACAGTGTACACGCACTCAAACAAAAAATCAGCTGGCTGGCTAAACATCAAACAAAAAACATGACCCTCTTTAAAAACAACAACAACAAAAATAGCCATAAAACTCAGTGAGTGGCTTTGCCGTATTAACAACAACAACAACAACAAAAACCCCGCACGGGAATAACACTAATGAACGTCAGATTCACAAATCGACAACCAAATCCATTGATAACGCCACACACACACACACAACCATCTGGAGGTTAAAAACCTCGGCGTCTGACATCGCCTCCGCGCCTTCAACCCCCCGGGGGGGAGGGGGGGAGGGGTGGGAGGGGGGGGGCTGCCCACGTGGTATGGGGGGGGGGCTGCCCCACGTGGTACGGGGCGGGGTGAGAGGTCACGCGGCCCGGCCTGTAGCCACCACCACCACTGTGGGCCCCCTGTGGGCCAGGCCCCACCACGACTACTACAGCGGCAGCAGCAGCAGCGGCTTGGAACGTCGCGTTAAACGACAACGTCGAAAGTTGCGTGGCGCGTCTCTGTTGTTGTCGTTGTTGTTTGTTCGTGCTAAGATGGTCGCAGTTTCCCCGTCGACTTAGCCGCGGCGAGAGAGAGAGAGAGCGAGCGCCGAGAGGAGTTGAAAGCGGCGGTGAGTTGGTGGCCGATGCCGCAGCAAGGCGCTGGAGCAGACTCGTCGTGTTCTATTAACTCTCTCCGTGTTTAATTTAACTCTGTTGGTGATTAATTCAGCTATATTGGTGTTTAATTGAACTCTTGGTGATTCATTAATCTCTCTTTGTGCTTAATGCAACTATATTTGTGTTTAATTCAACTATATTGGTGTTTAATTCAACTCTATTGGTGTTTAATTCAACTCTATTGGTGATTAATTCAACTCTGTTGGTGATTAATTCAACTCTGTTGGTGTGTAATTCAACTATATTGGTGATTAATTCAACTCTATTGGTGATTAATTCAACTCTTGGGGATTAATTCAACTCTCTTCGTGTTCAAATATCTTGGTGATTAATTCAACTATCTTGGTGATTGATTCTCAACTCTCTTCGTGTTTAATTCAACTCTGTTGGTGATTAATTCAACTCTGTTGGTGTGTAATTCAACTATATTGGTGATTAATTCAACTCTATTGGTGTTTAATTCAACTATCTTGGTGTTTAATTCAACTCTGTTGGTGTGTAATTCAACTCTTCGTGTTTAATTCAGCTATATTGGTGATTAATTCAACTCTCTTCGTGTTTAATTCAACTATCTTGGTGATTAATTGAACTACGGGTATCTTGGTACTGAATTCAACTTTCTCCTGTTGTGTAATTAAACCCTCATGGTATTTAATTGTATTGTTAGTATTAACGTATTGATGCATTATTCATAATAGAGTTTTTTTTGGGGGGGTCAGATCGCGTAAATATATAAATGTGTCGTGAAAACTCGCCACCACCACCCGACACAGCCAACTAGTAAGGGTTGTCACGTAAACAGAACGTGGCCAATTCGTCAATAGTACAGCACTAGTGTGTAGTGTATAGTGTATTATACTAGTGTATAGTGTAGTGTAACTAGTACAGCACCAACCGGTGTGTTGGAGAGCCAAGCCACAACATTTACAACCTGAGTACCTCTGTTATGGATATTGGTCGCGAAATAAATTGATGCATTATTCACAAGTACACCTCCTTCATAAATAAAAACATTAAAGACAAGCCATCGGAGTGCGATGTTGGCCATGCAACCCAAACGATGGATCGTAAAGGAAACCCATAGAGATACCATAGAGATACATTAACTAATTTCTTTCCAACTGATTTTTATGTGTAGTTGCCTTTCGCCCGCACCCCCGATTAGCACGGTTTGGCTACGTACGGTACGAACGAAGTTCAACATACTACATAGAGGCTCCTATCGATACGAAATACTCATAGAGATACATAGATACAATTGAAATACTAGCCACACTCGTGCGCTTTTGGCCATTCAATCCGAACGTTGGGCCATGGGGTAAAACCACTAGAGTCCGCGCACAGCAACACGCGACCAATTCCATCCTTGAAGTCCTCTCGTCGTGGCGAGCAGACCTCGACATTGGCGTCTGATTCCTGACCATATTGCCAAATTAAATAAAATATTGAACATTCACAGACGTCAGGCCACTTGGTTAATCCGTGGTCTCGCCAAGCTGTCGCTTAAAATATAGACTGCCTCTTTTGTAAAATACATATTAAAGACGTTAGAAATTATTATTAGTATGTGATCAACAGCATTGATCACCATTGTGATCAACATCGCCATGACCACGATCATAATAATCTTGGTCACCGGAATATGATCATCGTCAATATGGTGATTTCAAGGATGTTAAGCATCGATATCATTGTCAGAATGAAACATTGTTCGTGTCACCATCGTGAGTGATGTATTATGAGCACCAGCTGGCGAGTGCCGTCCGTGGTACAAATAAGTCAGCGAAAGCGAAATTTGCACTTGTGTGTGAGGACCAGCATCATTATAACACATCGTGATAAACATGTCACTCGAAACCCCCTCGTGTATTTGTGTGAGATGAGAAAAGTCGTTCGGTGGTCCCTGCCTGTTACATCCATTTACAAGCACGGCATCATCCTTGTGCATTGCAAAATTCCCCAAAAATATGGACTGGCCTCATGCAAGAGGGTGGGTGAATTAGGAGAATGTCGCAGTCCCCACGTGAGCAATGTAAATGTATAATTAAATCACGACGAGCAGTGCGGCGTCTTTAACCGATTACAATTGGTCAGGACGGGGAACGCAGTCTCAGAGCAATAACGCAAAGAGGGTGGTACGCACTGTCTCCGGCTGAACGGACTTGATAAGTATGGCCTTTGAGGTTTATGGGTCACTTGGGTCAACAAATAGATAAAATGCTTCTCGGTATTAATGTTTATATATGTACATACTGCATTGTATATGCAGCATGCAGGACACTTGATATTAACACACATGTGTGATCATCTTTCGATGGCATTAAGCACTGCAGACCATGGGATGTTATAAAAAGTTGGATAATTCTACAGTGATCCATATTGCAAATTCGTGTCAGTTGGTGTATTGTTGACTTGCCAGTAGTGTCGCGGTTAGTGTGCTACACCACGAACCCGGCGACCCGAGTTCAATATCCACTCACAGCCAGCACCAGTGACGATTATTCTGAACCGTCCTGGGCCTCCCCTAAGTATACTCTGCCTCAAATGAGTACCCGGTGCAGTGTGTAAATATTTCCCCCCGGTGAAACGTGGGCGGCTGGGTGAGGTGCTGGCCACCTACCCCCTCATGTGCTGTGCCAGCTTCATCGTTGCTCACTAACAGCACTTGCCCCAATGCATGTTAAGACTATACGGTGGTTCTTTATCTTCATATGCGTGTATGTTGAATGTCTTTCGCACCGTACATAGCCAGCCGTGCTAATCGTCTTTGTGCACTTGCCACAGCCAAGTCAAAATGCCGACTGCGGTACTCCTGGATACATCGCTGTCGATGGTGCGGCCATCCGGTGGCACTAACGGGCCTGGTGTAGGTGCTGAGGAAGAGCAGCAGAGGAAGCATCTGGCAGCCCACGGGGTCCGCATTCTGCTGGATCACCTGGCCACACACTACCGGCTTGAGTTTACCTCCCTCCTCGCCTTTTCCTCCGTCTGCAGACTGATTGTACCATTTACACGAGACTACAGCTCCCTGCAAGTACGTTTGGATGGTTTAATTGTGGCTTTTGTTGTTGTTGCAATATTGGTCTACATGCTTGGTACGAGACATTACTAATGTACGAGATGAATGAAAAGTACCCTTGATTGCAGCTGTGAAATAACTATGTGCGTGTGACACTTTTCAGGAGGGACTGAGCACAGTCGAAGACCAAGACAAAACGTGTTTAGAGGCTGCACTTAAAACCGTGAGCACAATCGTGCAAGAAGAGTGGGGAGTTGGTAGCATCTGCCAGGTGATGATGACATCTGGTTACATTTTTGTGACACATGCACCAAGGTTAATTTTGGGGTTGTGTTTTTGTAAAACTCTGAATTTGAGAATAGGTTTTCCCCCTTTTATATGGTATCTTAATTTGTTATTAAAGATTAAACTGCAAGCTAAATGTTGCTCTGCTCAAGTTATTTTATTTCGTTTTCAGCATAAAAACATGTCATGTGAAGTGCCCAAAATATGCAGTGTGTGAGATTATGCTATTGTGTGTGGCGAACAGGTGGTGTTGGTGACAGATGGCTGCATGGGTATTGGCAAGGGCTCCCTGAGGCAGTCATTGGCCTCTCTGGGACAGCGCGGTGACGATCGTGCCTTCCCCCTCCCATTTCCCTTCCCCTCTAAGCTATACGTAATGTGTATTGCCACCCTGGAGGAGGTGAGCAGTATATAGACCGTGTAAGAACAAAAGTAAATCTTATTGGATGCTTAAGCTAACACTTGTCTAAAATCAAGTGGTAAAACCACGTGCATGCTGAAGTTTTTTTTGTCAGCTGCAAAAATGCGCTAGTTATGTAAATGCTGTGAAAATGATTTCCATTGGGATAGGGTAGCAACCTTGTTTTATGATGTAATTAACACTGTATAGTTAGAATTATTTTACTGTAAGGTGGACACATTTGACCCAAGATAATTATGTCGGCGGCAGGGTGCTGCAGTGCTAACACTTGTGTCTCACAGCAAGGAGTTCCTGAGTTCGATTCCTGATTCGGGTGCCTTCGTGTGTGGAGTTTGTATATTCTCTCCCTGTTCTGCATAGGTTTCTTTCCATAGCTAAAATAAACATACAATATATCTGGTATTGGCCAAACATCTAAATGCTGAAATATTACCTTAAAATTATTCCATTAGGATTACATAAATATCAACATTATTCCCTTAAAAGATAATCTTGAGCCTCGGTGAGACCTTTCTAGGTAAACAAATGTAGTTAAAATAAAATATCAATGTTCATGCAAACTACTTCTCAGCACTGTAGTATATGTCACGCACAGTTTTTGCAAAGGTGCGTGAAGCTACAGACAAGCGGGAAGGAGCCAGAATTGGTCGTAACAATTGCCCAAGCTCTGGTTCTATATCGGGATGTTTGGCCAACTGCATTCGTGAGTGTTTATGCATGCAGGAGAAAACCTGTGCATGCCGATGAAATGCAGATATAAATTAACTTTATGTACTGCCATATCCTGGCAAGCCAGGAGATGATGACCACTACGTCCTTGGGTTGGCAGTTTCACTCCAAGGTGCTGTATTACAGGTGGGTGCCATCATAATAAGACATCACCTCTTAGATTCTGATCTCATCTTTTATTTTGTGCAGCTGGCCCAGGGCTGTCTGGAAAACTTACAATGGTTGGTGGATCGGAATGGTGGGCACGGCAAAGTGTTTTACATGGAGGGTCCCCTTTCCACCAAGAACATGCAGGTCATGTTCAGGTAAGCATTATGTTTATTATCGATCGTTCGTTTCTCAGTCCGCTTGTCCTGGTGAGGGTCGCGGTGGCAGCATGTTGAGGGCAGTATCGACCTCCCTTTTTCTGGCGAAAGACTCGAGCTCTTCATGGGGAATTCCCAGGCGTTCCCAGGCCAGCTGAGCGACATAGTTCTGCCAGCGTGTCCCGGCCCCGGGGTCTTCACCCAGTGGGACGTGCCCAGTAGAGTTCCAGGGGAAGTCTTATCAGGGGGCATCCTTACCAAGTGCCCAAACCACCTCAGCTGGCTCCTCTCGATGCGGAGGAGCAGCGGCTCGACTGAGGCTCTCCCGGATTACCGAGCTCCTCACCCGATCACAGAGAGTGAACTCGGCAACCCTACGGAGAAACCTCATTTTGGCCCCTTGTACCCGTGATCTCATCCTTTCGGTCGTTACCCAAAGCTTATGACCATAGGCGAGGGTGGGAACGTAGTTCGACCTGTAAACCAAGAGAGTTTTGTCTGAAAACTCAGCTCCTGCTTCATTACCATGGAATGGTAGTGCCTGCAACACTGCAGACGCCGCAGTGATCCGCCGGCCGATCTCCTGCTCCCACTTACCATCACTCGCAAAAGAGACCCCGAGGTACTTAAACTCCTCCATAATTGGCTGTAAAATGCCTGGGACCTCATGTTTTTTAATTTACAAAGGTGTGATATAATAGGCTGTTATATTTTTGGTGCAGCCATTACTCTACACGTTGGCTGATATATGAATGACTTGCACTCTTACTGTCACTTACATTAGACACTGCAGAATCATTGGATCTATTTATTTAAGCAGATGTGTTTTTTGATTTTTTTTAGTGATGAATACTTTTTTTGTGAAAATGCAGAAATAACAGCATCCAAAGGCAGCCTGCCATTTTACTGCTTGAATTATTGAGTGCATGGATATCCCGTAACATATTTTTATTTTAAAAAAGAGAAATGCCACAAGCAATTGTGAAAAAAATTGGTGTACAAAAGGGAACGTTTAAAACAAGTTATAAAGCTATAATATTCAATGAGTGCATCGAATTCTAGTAATTGTTTTATACAATGGTTGAATTAATTTTTTAAATTTAGATTGCTTGTATTCTGTGCATAGAGTAATATTGAATTGACTGTACATCAGTTTTAATTGACACCCGGATAATCTATACGGTTATAAATTAGGTTATTTCAAAATGTATTCCACTTCCATTTTTGAGGAACTTACTCAAATAAAAGAGGTCCCTAACGTTTTCCAGGGGGAAAAATACTCTTGTACAAACATGAACATCTGTGTGCTGACAGCAAATTGATAGAGCAGGGATATTCATCATTCCACACGGTCGTGAAGTGCGGTCACCTGGCATCAGAAGCGCAGCTTTTTCCACGCCCAGAGCCAGTCCTTCAGGAAGAAGAGGGAGATACAAGGAACATCCTGCCTGGTGAGCCAGCTGATGTATTATTCACTTGTTACAAACATTATCTTCTTCACATTTATCTTTTCTACAAAATGGCTTATTTCAGTCAATACATACTTGAGCAGTTGAGAAAGGTTGCATGCCAAATTGAGTGCAAAGAGGGAGATCATTCTCAATATATATAAAGCTGTATGCCTATTTTTCTTGAGTTGATTAAGAATGAAAAGGAGTTGCTGTATTTACTGTACCGTACTTACCACTCCAATCTCGAAGGCTCTGCATGGGGTGATGTTCGTACTACGCTCTTGTCTCAACATGTGTTTGACGATTGCAGGACTGATGCCAACGCTGATTTACACGCACTTTTTGCTGGATTGCACTGCATATTTTGTTTGTATTACTGCAGTTATTAGACATGAAAAATGTCTATACACGCAGTGTTTTCATTCAGTTGTATGCAGTGTATAATGTACTGCATGTAATATTTGACACTGAAGTCAAGCACATGGTGCAGATCGCCGGACTGGTTACAGCCTTTGGTGCGGTTTTGCCGGTTCAGCCCAGGACCGCCGGATAACGTTGGAAGCCAGACAGTCGATGATCAACTGTATATAAGTGACCTCGCCATTTAGTTTCTTCATGGTTTTCATGGTAATTTAAATGCGTTCCATTGTGTTTTTTTTCTTTCAGAAATACAGATTGTGGGCTTCCTGGACATTAACGATGTGTGCAGCCCTCCCGTTATCTCTCGCCACCTGGTGCTGCCAATCGGACACAGCAAAGGTGGGCGTCTGGACTTGGGCTTGCTGATGCACTTGGCAATTACAGAATACATAAATATTATTGGATTAAAAGTAATGCAGACCAGTTATAACCACTTCTGTGGTTACATGTATGGCATTGATGGCATTTTTCGAAACTTTTAAATTATAGGAAGATATGCATTGCTGTTTATAACATACAGATTAAATGTGGTACTGTAATCGGAGTGTGCAATATGGGATCACATTTCGTAATACATTTTAGGTTTTAGTTTGATAAATATGGTGTTTTCAATTTTAAATTGTGGTAAACTGCAACAGTGTTTGATTCAGCATTTACAGAGGACAATCTGAAATTCTCCAAACTACAGAGTCAGAGGATGGTGGGGCAGGTGGCGTAGAGGAAACTGATGAAGACCCAAGTGCTCAGAACGCTGGCAAGAGGCCGTCTTTCTGTGTCCTCCTGCACGGTAGCCTCAAGGTGGAAGGCATGGTGGCCTTGGTGCAACTTGGGTGAGTTGTGAAGTCAAAAACAAGCTGGAAAGACAGCCTATTAAGACGGCCTCCATGACATTTTTTACAAATATAAATGTTGCACACTCAAAATGAAGGACGTTGGGCAGGTGCTCCAAATCGAGGGAAAACACATTTATTGTGGTTAATCTGTAGAATGCAACAGCAGCACGTGTGTCACACACAGCAATTCTTCACCGAGTCGCCATTAACCACGTGACTGGTGTCCACGTCCGGTTAATCATTAGCAGTTTTCTCTTAAACCCACTTCTACTACTGATAAACCATCTTTGTCTTTGACAATAACGTTTGAACTTCACTATTCGAATATTACTTTAATCCTAAGCTGTATGTCTATCTATACCATCCACTTATATCGGTTTCTTACACCCATTATCTGTACTGTATGTGTACAGTATACGTACTGTACCATTGTACAACTTACTACTTTACATGTGTTCTATTCTCAATAGCATTGCAAGTAGTCATACTCTGGGTGCATGGGCATGGTTATAGACTAAACAGTATTAGGGTTAGAGAATTAAGAATTACAAGTATTAACTACAGTGCGTCATCCTTTACAATGCACAGTGCTAAAACCCCTCGAATTGAATATATCACGAACTAACAATTCAAAGCCATAGCTTAACGTCTAGAACAAGTCTAGAACATTTCTATAACGACCAAAACAACCTTTGGGTCCTTTACCTGTAGAATGCAACAGCACATGTGTCACACACAGCAATCTTCACTGAGACGCTATTAACCACGCGACTGGTGTAGACATCCAGTTAATCATTAACCCTGCCAGCCCCCCCACAGGCCCAACTCAGTCATCACATGCTGGTGTACACACGTGCATTGATGTACTGCACAGCACATAAGGACTTATTAAAAGAGTGCTCCATTCCTAATGTGCCACATAAAAGTTCCCTTTATAATGTATTTCATGGATAATGTTGCCTAAAATATTTACACAATTAGGCATTTGTATGCTGAATGTTAAGATTTGTAGATAATTGTTTTGGGCTTATTTAATATTTTTCTAAAAACAAGTGTCCTTAGATGGTTGAATGAACATTTAAAAAAACTTTGAAAGGATTATCAATAAGAGGTCTAATGGCTAAAATATCACAGCTTTGGATGGTTAGGATTTAGGTTCAACAACCAACCATGTTTTCCCAATGATGCTTGTATGTTGTGTGGTGTTAATTGCTTGTTTGTCCAGGCCGGCATGGTTCGGGATGCTATACTCGCAAGCTGACAGCAAAAAGAAGTCGAACCTGATGATGTCCGTTTTTGAACCTGGCTTTGATACCTTACCATGGCTGGGGAAATTCACACAGCTGGGCCCCATCTCTGGTGTGCAGTGCATTTTTACACAAATTGTATCAGGATAATTAGATAAGTATTACTGCCTCACTGCTGTGACGGCTCTGTGGTTAGATACGTGTCTTGTTTTCAGATTTCGCAGAAAACCCGTATGGGGAGGATGACACTCGGACGCCATTTCCCATGATCCCGGCCACCAAGCGCAGCTATGCTCAAAACGTCGTGGTGTGGATTAAGCAAGGTGGCCTCCAGGTGAGCCGCCTACATGTAACATTCATTTCATTAGCATCGGTGTCACCATACTGAATGCATTGAAATTGGGGATTAGAATGTCATTGTTGGATACAATTTAGTTCATGGATGCGTCAAGTTTGATATTTTTTTTTTCTTCCAACAGACGGATGTGCAAAAGATTCTGAGAAATGCCAGGAAACTTCCAGAAAAAACACAAACCTTCTACAAGGTGAGGATGACACGCAGCAATTTACTATCCCGTTGGCATTTTCCTTACCAGGACGCCGGAGTAAACCATCGCGTTTGTGCTCATGTGGCATGTGCAGGAATTGAACCGGCTGCGCAAGGCTGCCCTGGCATTCGGCTTCCAGGACCTGCTGACCGGCGTAGCGGAGCTGCTGGAGCGGGAGTGTTCGCTGTTGCCCGAGAAGACGCATCCTGATGCTGCCTTCCAGCTCAGTCATGCCGCCAAGCAGCTGCGGAGGTCGGCTCGCCCGCGTTCTGAGCACGCTCGCTACGAGTGCACCATCGCCCCGCTCCGCACAAACTTCTCAGGGTGCAGTGCAGAATAGCGCAAGTAAGATGTCTTTCCAGGTGACTATTTTTATCTGAATGAATTGATTTATTCCTCAGCGTACAATACTTAGTGCATTTTTGGCCAGTGGTCAGCTATAAGCACAAGTTATGCAGACCTCATAGTTACAGGGCTACTACTCTATGATTTGGAAAACCTCATGGAAGAACTTTAATGCCTAACCAGGTTTTATTTTAGAAACCATCTTAATGTTTTCATGACATTGTTATTATTCCCAGTGCTGTTTTGTACACAGTATGTGGTTGACCACCACCATTCTTCATCGATTTTGTGTGTCTACAAGAATCACAAGCTCCTGACATAATGATTTTTCTCCCATATGAAGAATAGATGCACTGTAATGCAGAGTGGTGCCTTGGCCTTTAACAAAATACAGCATGATATGCAGCCCTTCTGAACGGGAGCCAGTTAGTCTGTAGCGATCACTTCTGGATCGTCTCCCCATTTGGCCTTTTCATTTTAAGCAATAAATGGAATGAATTGCTTTTATTAGCAATATACTAATCATTTTTTGTAATGTTATTATATGTGCTGTACAGGAATGCTTTTTTTTACCAGTTTCATACTAATGGTTAGGAATTTAGCTGAATGTGACATAGGTTTGATCAATAAATTTAATCTCAAAATGGTAAATGAAAACGTCTCCATTCAATATCGAATGACGTCCTGTGTGATCATATCAATATAATGTATTGGGATGTTATCAAACTTGACATCGGTTTCAGCATACAAGCTGTGCACTGTGTGCATGTTTATTTTCAACACTGCAAACCGACATGCACTCACATTCTAATTTTGTTTTAATATTACAAAACTAACATTAAAAAGTGGTAACCACTTAATGTAACGGTCAGTAAGATATTACGTTCTAAAAGCGTACACAAAATAATATATTATGAGTTGTACACAAACCATGCACATCAACATGTTGTGATAGTTATAAAAAAGCTTACGCTTTACCAGGGTAAAAAGTAAACATGTAAAGGCCATGATAAACTAAGATATTGTCACTTATCTAAAATACTATTTTCGATTCAGTTAGTGTCTCATCAACAGCGTCTCTATACCTGTGGGCTCTTACTCTGCTGGAAAGCCCAGTTTCTTCGAGCTGTAACGGCTTTCATATGCACCCACGTCAAACTTGCGTTTGCAGCCTGCGTAGTTCATGTATCTGATCTTGCCGTAAACTGCGCGCTCAGCCCAGCCCTGGTCGTGTGTGCCACAGATGGACCACATGCAGCCTAGCGAAAATGAAAATCACGAATGTGTTAAACTTGCCTTGCACGAAACCTAGCCAGGAAAAGACACTTGTATGCATAATGTACAAATACAAGTTATAAGTTGCAATAGCAGGTATAAAAGGTTTGGGCAAAATTATAAGCACGTGTGCTAAATACTAGGCAAAACGAAAATCAGACGAATGCTACATCCCGCACCTCCGATTAGCATGGTTGGCTACGTACAGTGCGAACGAAGTTCAACAGACATCAATGGTATTGCGACACAAGTCACTGCCATGCTGCTGTAAGCTCATCGTAATCAGATTCTATTGTACCTTTTATACGGAAAATTACATGCGCAAGCCAACTGTTACAAGGCAAATTTGAACAGCTGGAAGTGTCCAACACAAAGCACTAAGCTGATATATTTTTAGGGTAAGTCACGTGTCATTTGGTGTGATATTTCTTTTAATGTTTTGGGAGCTACATTAACTAAATGGAGCAGCTTAGGTTCTCCGTCATTTATATTAAGTTGGCAGCTGCTACTGGAGTTTGATTTAGGCCAGGCCAATGTTATTTATGAGCTTCGTCCGAGTGTGCTTACATGCTCATTACTTGTGAATATGTAGTGAAACCATGAAGCTGATCATCGTCCATACCAGAGTGATAGCACACTGTGAAAGGTCCATGGAGAGAAATGGACATGCCGAATACCATGTGGTACAACTCGACATCAGATAAATAAACAGCGCAACCATAGAACCTACACAGTGCTATTAGGTGTTTGCATTTACCAACGTAACCGTTTGGGTCACTTCCATCCAGCTGGTAGCGGTCGTTGAGATAGATTGCAGTGCGGAGGGCCTCCTCTGGGGAGCTCGTCCACTCCAGGATTTTCTTCGCCCAGTACATGCGCATGAAGCCATGCATCTTTCCTTCAACTACCATCTGCAGCTGTTACCATCAAACAAAACAGAATGCTCCAGTTACAGATGCACCGGGATCAAAGAAAAGTGTCAATAAACATAAATGGGCATTCAGACACTCAACTGTACCTGGGCTGCATTCCAAAGTGGGTCGTGAGTTTTAGCTTCTTCCAGTTGCTGCAGAGAATAAATGTATTCTCTCTTGTCCTGTATATGAGCATCCAGGGACCTTTTAGCCCAGTCATATGCCCCTAAACAAAATTACAATCGTTGGTGAACAAGTTCGAAATTCGTTCGAAACGGTACATGCAGAATTTGAAGCAATACATGGAAAGTAAAATAGTTTTTCAGTGACAGCTGAAGTGCACACACCATCTACATTGTCATAATTTTTGTTGTAGAAGCAGAAGTTGTCGCCAAGTTCCCGTCGCACGATTGCCTCTTCAATGTACATGTCAACAGACTCGCGGTACTTGGGTTTCAATTTACTGACCTCAAGAGCACACCTCTGAACGGAGATCTGACCTACACACAAAATGTTACAAGGAGGCATTTTATTATGAATAAGCAGTCATGTTGAAAGCTGCACATCACCCCTAATACATAAAGTTAATTATTTTGATAATTTTTATTTCAATTACGTTTGTTTTTGTAAAGATTTTATTGAAAATGTTTAGCAGCATTCGAAGCACCTTTGTGCAATAATGTATAACGGCATTCGGCCGACGAGACAAAATGACTGTCATTTCATTGCTAAATATGAGTTGAGGGAGGGAAATGTTCAAACTGCCACATAAAAGATACTAAAATATGTAGTTGTTCACTTTAATGCATATGACACTAAGTCTGCTGCCGAGGGACTTTCTCTGCGCACCAAAGTGAATCCACGGTGAGAGATTGCTGAGGGCATTGCTGTTGGGGTTATTGCGATCTGTGCTGAACAGCTTCAGCCTCTCGTTTATAAAGGAGTTGAGCATCTCCAGTCCCGCTGCCGTGCCGGGCTGAGCCCACGCCACTTCGCCCACACTGTTGTCGACCTCCAGTGACTGCCGTGCCGCCTCCCAGTCTGTCTCCTGCAACACAGCAGCACGTGACGCTCTTGGCTGCTCCGTCGCACTCCTCTGACCGCATGTAGCTTTAACGTAAGCTCGCTGCAGCTACGCACCCCGCGCACAACTTCCCAACAGATTTTTTCACCGACGCGAGCGTCGCACTGAGCAGTATATTCAAGCTATGACTATTTATAACATAAAGCATTGCAGAAATAAGTGGAATATCCACTCCTGGCTTAGGACGACCAATAAAGATAACCGAAGCATTGTGTGCTTGGTTGAAAGGTGCTTTGGTTAATTGTTAGATTTGGGCCCACAATTTGCATCTTTCAAACTGTTAATTTTAATATTGCAATGCAGAGGTCGCTGGTAAAATTTCCGGAATGGAATTAGAAACAATGGTGAAAGTTTATTAAATCCTCCCCAACTCTGTCCATCCAGCAATATAAATGTGAGTATACTAAAAACCATCGGCAGGTGGTGGTGTAAAGTGTGGTATTCCACCTCTTCCAAGACTTTTTGTCAGTTTGCAAGAGTAAGCCAAATACCCTCTTCCAGCAGTGGCATGAGCAGGAAATGTTAGGGCTGCACTGTAAAATTAATTATGCTATAATTATGTTTACATATATACACAAAATAACAAATTAACCCCCCACCGCTTTGGTAAGAGTTAAAATTGAGATTGTCAATATGGACAATATTATCTGAATGTGGCAAGTTACCTCTGGCAGGCTTTTGGCTGGATATATGTGCTTAATCACTGGAGGGAATTCAGTGAAAAACTGTGGCAGCTTGTCGTGTATTTTCCTGCGAATCGTCCTCGCTCCGTATTCTAGTTTGTCTGACGTGACCCAGCACGGCACCACGTTGTGTGCATCCACCTGCAGAGTGTACACACATTTGTCACAAAACTAGGTCAGTCTCAATCAAAACCGTAATCTTCATAGCCGAGCGTAGAGAAGGTGCTTGGGTGGGTATGTGCTCACCATGATTGTTATAGGGTACAGAGCTACATGGTGGGCAGGACATCCTGGTGCAGAACCCTACTGAAAAAAGTGGCTTGACACTCATGGATAAATCAATAATATTAATAGAATTTCAAGGTACAGTTAACAATGTGTGCCAATTACAAAGTACAACCAGTACAGTTCATTGTGTAGACACTTGCCTGTGCTAAAGGTACATTCTTTGGCAGAGCTTTCTTTAAGTCTTTCACCCACTGCCTGGGCACACGCAGAGGAAGGAAGTCCGTCACAACAGCACCAATATTCTTCTCAATTACGAACGGAGGAAGCACATCCTTGGCATAGCCTTTCAGGAGGTGAAAAGAGATGTCGAGGGAGCGGAACTCCTGGAAAAAAAAAGTGCCTTTTCATACACATGTAACCTTTCATGAAAATCAACTATTAGAATAAATCATTGTACACATGATGTGCATTGAATTGTCCATGTAAGAATCTTAATTTGTTTTCACAATAATTTTGTGCACATTTCCACTTAAGCTACTGGAGACAAAATGTGAAAGTACGGACAAGACACAAGACGGTGAAAAAGAGACTGAGAAAGTACAAAACTACAAAAGATCCTTGAATCGTAAACCCAATTCGTGACGATTGAATTGCAAAATACTTGTATAGTTTATTAGTCTACTTACAAAAGACGAATGTTTAAATAATATAGGCATCACAAATAAAGTGCAGTTTTATTAATCATAAAAAACTAACATTACTAAGAATGTCAGATGAAATGACACGAAATACATAAGCCAAATTAATATGACTTGCGCGTACCTTTTCAACCTCTTGGAGGCCTCGAAGCATGAAGCCAAAGTGTCGAATAGTCGCATCCATATACTTGGGCACCAGACAAAAGCAGACGTAGAGTGGAAGCCTCTGTTTTAGGGCCAGCCGCTGGGCATAGAGTATTGCCCAGTTGTCTTCGTGAGAGGAGGAAAGGTTCTTTGTTAAAAAACAAACGCCTTCACATCCATCATTCAGTCTCATAACAGAAAACACAATATGGGCAAGTGAAGAGGGTCTTTACTTAAAACAACTTCTCCCTGAAGAATCAGAGGGATCTTAATTGATATTGCTGTACATATAACTGGGTTATAACGATAGCAATATCGCCCCCTACCGGCCGACTACACACGTGAAAAATAGTGCCCTCATGACAGCCTTTTGCTATAAGAATGGTGCAAATACTAAATGTATTTAATTATTATTAATGTATTGCTTTGTCATAAAGCAGTGTACTCATGATGGTGAGTTTTTGTGCATGTTCAGTACACTCCTGCCGACACTATACCTTAAATGTTAATATGTAGTTCTCCAAACTAGGCTTCCTGAACATGCAGTTAGACAATTCATCTGCAGCCTTGTGCATGTCACGTCCAAATATTCCAATTCAAATGTAACTTACAAAACCAACATTTATTTTAATGTAAACAATTGTCATGAATATACTTAATATTGGTCAGCAAATTATTGGCATTGTGACCCATTTAATTAAATGCATGTTGAAGTACTGTAAAAGGTAAGCAAGCCTAAAGGACGTACCTTGAACACGCTGGTCACGTGACATCCAGTATAAGATGCCACTTGCGTTCGGTGCCGTAGCATCAGTATTAGACACAGCTCGTACCCGCTTCTTGTTGAAGCGGAACTCCAATACAGATGAAGCCAAAGCTGCACGGGTTTTGGAAATCTGCTCTTCAAAAGTTCCACTTCCTACCACATTCACCAACACGAGGGCATTTTTAAACACAATCTTAAGTCGTGATAAGCACGTAATTTCTCATTGTCAAGTCGGAAATTAGTGTCTTAAATGCATTTATTAAGGTGTGTATGAAGTTTAATTAACCTTTTTCTTACGTGGCTCATTTTAAACATGTCAATTAATCATATTTAGGACATTATTTGGTGACACTATATTGTAAGCGGTTAACAAGCATAAATAAAAATCTGCATTGTCACTAATACTTTTACTCTTTGAGTCTTTCGGTGAAGTCATGTAGATAGAAAATCTATTAAATAATAATAAAAATCACTCCGTTTCGATCGCAACACAAGCAATCGTCTTCACGTGAATAAATACAGCAGGCAGACTGCTGAGGCAGTAAGAAATATTGTCAATAATGCCGCCTTAAAAATCATATAATAGGCTACTCTTATGTGCTGTAAAGAAGAGCTATTGCAAGAGAGGTGCTATTGCTCAAAGTACACCGACTAATGGTTGCCACATTCCCAGTGCACTTAGGTGGCCTTGGACATTGTTTCCGGTCACATTAGTTCACTCACTTTCAAAGTTAGTTCAGCTGAAACATTCACCCCAGGTTCATGTCAGTTCACTGCATCCCTGGTTCCAGTAAAAAAAATCATATCACACCACCTTCACACTTGCACACAATAATAGATCAAAGTATAATTGGCTATAACATTATCCCCCAGTGACTGTTAAAAATCTCATTTTATTTCTGGCAAGTCACGGTAGAAAAGACTGTTGGACAAGACTAAACAAGACAAGTCAAATGGTTAATTGGGGTGATACTCTCGAGAGATGTGCAATCGTCTCCTGAATACATTTTTAATTGCTGAAATTTTGCTCATTAAATGAGCCCATAGGATACTTATTGTAAAGAAATATCACATATGTCCATCCATTTTTCAACGGTTTTACTTAACTTGACTCCTGTGTCGAGGTCAAATCTTGTCATCAAAATTTAGTCTATTTCCTGTTGTCCAATCAATTCCACATTTTTGCACACGTACTCAGATCCGGTGACAATACATGCCTGTATCAAAATCGGCATAAATTAATCAATTAATTGGCTCATTTTAAGCAATTAACATTTTGTTTTTTGTGTCGGTCAAAAACGCCGCCATGATTCCGCGATTCCTTGGCCATATGGAGGAATCCCCGAATAAAATAGAGGTTCCATGAATAGAATGGCTTTCGGGTTGGTTAAAAACGCAACTTTATGTGAACTTCATTCAGTGAAAGCATTGAATGGCACAATGAAGGTTGCTCAGTAATCGTACCTGTAGGTGCAGCGGTGGTGGCCGCATCAAATTCCTTGCTCGTAGTCTCGACTTTGGGCTTCTTGCTCGGAGGTCCTCCACTGGTCTCTGGGAGTGCTCCAAAATGAGACAGCTCTGGCTGTGTCTTCTTGGCTGGTTGCTTGCTGGTGGTGGCCATCGTGGCAGTGAGCAGATAGAACTCTGAATCTGGGGCAAAATATGCAAAACAAATTAAGAGTTGAAATATAAAAAAAAACTTCCAACATTGACAAGTACTGTATGTTACATATCGAGTTAAGTAAAAAAATGTACGTGTTTTTTGGACTCTATTTCTGTGTTGGATGTATTATGAAGTTCAAGTCTTCTTCCGTGTGTCTGATGTAGGTGCAGATCAACAACTACAAGTGATTCTGGTTAATGAGCTGACCCGAATATGCATTGATTGACTCCTGGGATGAATGACCAGACCCTGGGATTAATCACCTGATAGTGGGGTAATTAATATGACCCAACCGTGTAACACCGGACCCTGAAATTAATGAGCTAACCCTGTGCTGAATTACCTGACCTCCACTGCTGGATGTGTAGGTCGTGGCGGGTTATTTTTTCACATACTTCACCACGCTGGTCAGTACTGGTTAGTAAAAGCGGAGTACATGGGAGCATAGAAATTCAGTACAACAATATCCTGGGCTGAATAGACCAGATCACTCACCTTACTCGGTCGCGAATTGACACGGCCCAAATGTGAAATTGATCAAATCCAACCCACGAAAATTCGCATTAAAACTCAAAACTCGGACGGCGTACAACTTGCATCGGGGTCGGAGTGGTGGCGCTGTGGTTAGAGCACCGCACTATCCCCACTCCACTGAGCGAAAAGGCTCAACCCACCACCCCCCACACACACACACACCACACATACCAAAGAGCACGACGTCGTGCATATAAGCAACCATCAACAATTAATGCGTTTGCAGTCGGCGGACGAGCACAAACAACAGACACTCAACACATTCGCTCGTAACACCGCGGCCCTAAAAAGGACATCGTCTGGTGTGGTGTAACGAGCGACGTTTCGGCCGATGGCATCTCCACGGGGAATAATCACTCACCACGCACAGCAGAATGCTAAGGAGTAGCGTGCAAGAGAAGATCCCCACCACAACACACACAACGGTTGCGACTGGGACAATGCTGGTACCTTGAGATATGCAATTAAATCAACACGGAGGCTGAGACGGCTTCACAAAGCCCGCTCGCTTATTTAGTAACGCGAACAAAAAGCCCCAACAAGCATCTGAAACGTAGCTCCCTCTCTTGCAAGCTGCTCGATCGATCCAAGATGCAATTCGATTTCGCGATTCCCTCGCCGATCCGATTGCTTTGGCGAAACGTGAAAGATCCGCGCTGAGTCGCCCGCGGAAGGAATCGATTTGGATAAACGGAAACTCGCGAAGGAATCGATTCCCATTTTGTTTTCGAGAAGAGGCATTTAAAAGGGGCCCATCTTCCAATGGCCGAAGGGCGATTACGATGCAATACTAATTTATTCCATTCCCTTTTACGTAAACTGTGACTTAACCACTAAGCAAAAGGCATTTCCATTGGTTCATACGTCTACACATCGACACCCTGTCGCGTGTTTACGCAATTTTCAAGTTTGACCGCAGTTATACAATGCCACTGTAGTACCGTCCTGTGTATATGCAAAACTCAACAATGCCACGACATTACCAGATACTGTATATAAGCTCATCACAGTCATCAATAACACCGTGGTATTAAAAGAAAAATTATATAATCGGCGACGTTTTGGGAAATGGCCCTTCTTGAAAGGACATAGGCCAGATAGAGTAGATAATATTGGTAGGAACCACCTGGTTCCACCAGCCCACAGGGGATTATTGTGTCCGTCCGTCCGTCGTGAAGGGAGGGGCTGGGCTGGGTGGGGAGGGTGGGGCTGGGCTGGGTGGGGAGGGGCTGGGTGGGAGGGGTGGGGCTGGGTGGGAGGGGTGGGGCTGGGCTGGGTGGGAGGGGTGGGGCTGGGCTGGGTGGGAGGGGTGGGGCAGAGTGGGGTGGGGCTGGGTGGGGAGGGGCTGGGTGGGGAGGGTGGGACTGGGCTGGGTGGGAGGGGTGGGGCTGGGTGGTGAGGGTGGGGCTGGGTGGGAGGGGTGGGGCTGGGTGGGGAGGGGCTGGTCACCCCGTGGTGCCCTTATACAACTCAACGTTTAACCTACTCACGCTGGCTTGTGCCCGCCCTCACAGTCGGGCATATTTGCGGAATACACCACGCCGCCGTTGACCCTGGCCATTGACCGAGCAACCCAACGTTCCTACCAGCTCTCTCCGCAGGAATGTGTTTTGTGAGTTGGAGACTGCACTCTACGCTATAGGGCCTGACCAGAATTGCATTAAAACTAGAATTCCGGTGGCCACTTTGGAAACTAGCATGGTCGACACCTTTATCTTTACCCTTGTACCCAGTTAAAAGGGTAAATTACCTTACCGTGCCGAGGCCTACCGTGGCGAGGAGACAATGAACCGCCGATGGCATACCGTAGCGCCTTGTTGGCGCTCGCTAAGGTGGCATTCCCGCGGATAGCCGAGGCATCCTGGAATGCGCTGGTGGCAAAGCAGATATGAGGCCTCATCCAAGGGAGCGGCCTTGTGCTACATATTGTACGGGAGAGCAGAGGAACCAGACGGCCAACGGAACTGACAGGAGCAGTGGCGACGGCGGCCACCGCCGGGCCCAGCCTGAGCAACGATCTTCAAATGACCTTGGAGGAGATGGCAGCGGCATTCCGTGAATTTTATAGTCCAAGGCACGATCGACAACAGCAGCGACCATGGCAGACCCGCGGAGGGACCCGGTATTGAGCCGAGATCAACTGCTACTGCTGCGGGAGGCCGGACCACATCGCAAGAGGATGCCAGGGTGAAGTCGACTCGAGACAAGTAAGCCATGTCTGAGAAACAACGTGGAATTTCACAAGAAAGAATCAGGCATGGCCCTAATGAAGATCAGGAGGATGGGGGAGGCTGATGGAGTCATCCGAGCAACACCAGGGAGGAGTGTCGCTGGGACGAGCGTGTCGTTCGACCACACAGACATAAACCGAAATTTTAACAATGGTGGAGGAGAGTGTACCTCTTGGTTGTGTATTTCCACGTGTAGAAATGTTCCCTTTTAACAGAGTATTAAATGTGTAGGACTTGAGATAACACGCGTCACGCGTTTGGTTGTGATACGGACGTGCGGCAGACAGTAAGGGTGAAAAACGGGGACACAGGGAGCGGGGCGCGCGATACAGTTGTTGTTGCGCCAATTAAGGGGGTGAGGTAATTAAGGGACGCTGCAGGTGTTAGGGGTAACTGAGGACGCTGGGGGGTGATTGGTCGAGAGGGTGAGTGGTTGAGACTGGCGCTGGGGTATCTACGATAACAGGATCACGTGAGGCTGGGGGCCTGGAGGCGAGTAGCTAAGCGGGGGATAACATAATTAATTGGGGCTAATTGGTTCGGGGATAAAGGCAGAGAGCGTGTGGAGATACGGGAGTCGTTGTTAGTGTGGGAGTTGCAGTTGGAGTTAGCGTTGGAGTTTGTGCCTGGGACAAGAGTGTATAGTATAAGGTAGCAGTGGACAAGAGTGTATAGTATAAGGTAGCAGTGGACAAAGAGAATACAGTATACGGTAGCAGTGGATATAGAGAGTACGTTCAGAGTAGCAAGGACGGAGCGAGTACAGCGTAGCGAAGCAGCGGAGTAACGGACCTTGGTGGGGAGAGAGAGAGCGAGCGAAACAGCGGAGCGGAGCGAGCAAACGGAGGGACATTGAGTGAGGTCGATGGAGAGTTGTGCATTGAAGAGTATGGAGGAACATTGAGTGATGCTGTCGGAGATGTGAACTATACGCGTTAATAAAGGAACGAGAAAGACAAGTTGTCGCGTCAGTACGAGTCCTACAAATGTAAGGGTAAGCTTGGTTGACCATACCTGCTGTAAGCAGAGGTCATTGTCGGTCGTAACGCCTTCCACCCCTTGTTTCGAGGGCCTTTGTTTAAGCGTTGGCCTAGAGGAAAATATTTAAAAAATCCATATTCCCATGGAAATTCCCTTGTGAGATGCCATAGTCCAACAATGTTAAGTCCCCTATTGTGAAAATTTGAGTTAAAGCCGAGACGGCTGTTTTTCGTCGAGGGGAGGGTGTGGGGGACGGTAAAGACGAAGTGCTCGAGGGTACACGTTCAGATCATTAGGAGCAGGTGGCCGGAAGGTACTGTATAGACTTTCCGATATGGGTGGGGCTCTGCGGGGGTATATAAGGGGAGCGAGGCCCGCGGTCTGGGCGAGGGACTGTCAACGAACAAGGTGGACATCGGGGCTGACTGATCGTGTAGCAACTAGGTGGAAACCATCGGGGCTGATTTGATAGCAGTAGAAATTACGAGTGAACCTGTTATTACGCTCCAAGTTGTAATTATGTTGACCTTAGAAATAAAGATTCTACTTACACAAAATGGATGTCTCGAAAGAGCTTCTTTACACCTGTGCCAATATAGACCTAAATTTAAATCTAAATCTGCCTGCTGTTCGACTGGTGTTACCCATGATACAGTACTAATAGGGTGGACAGAGAATTTAAAAAACTTGACCATTGTTTCGATATTAGTTTGTTCTTCCCCCCGCACATCCGATTATTATAATAATTTGTTATTATAATTCTGTGGAACACTTGTCATATATTGAAATGTGCGTGAACTCCGTTGCTACTCATTGTAGTGTTGGTGCAAGGTGAAGTCGACACCGATTCCGGTGTTCATGCACTTTGCATGCAATCCGGTGCGGAGGTTAAATGAGCTGAGGTGCAGGTGCGAGGTGGAATATTTACATCGCAGGGTTGTGAGGAATTGCGGCGACTTGGGGAGACCTTTATCAAGCAGTGAACCGACCCATGGTTGATTATGAACACATTCCTGCGGAGGGAGTTGGTAGGAACGTTGGGTTGCTCGGTCAATGGCCAGGGTCAACGGCGGCGTGGTGTATTCCGCAAATATGCCCGACTGTGAGGGCGGGCACAAGCCGGCGTGAGTAGGTTAAACGTTGAATTTTATAAGGGCACCACGGGGTGACCAGCCCCTGCCCTCCCCACCCAGCCCCTCCCCTCCCCACCCAGCCCCTCCCTGCACGACGGACGGACGGACACAATAATCCCCTGTGGGCTGGTGTAACCAGGAGGTTCCTACCAGTATAATGAACAGAGTAGGAATAGGAGACTGATCTGCACCGATTCTCGTGTCGGTGAACTCGCGTTTCATGAACGCCGGACTCTGCACCGAGTAATGGTGCAGCCTGGCGGACGAATCCATTATACGGGACGGGGGAGAAATTACCACCTCTGACATGTATAACTATTTTAATTTAAAGCTTTCGTGACTGCTGGGATTCATATTTTTGGTTCTTTCGGTAAAGTCATGTAGAAGGGAAATAATAAAATAATAAAAATATATCTTTATATTTTTTATTAAATATATATTTCATATATTTTTTTTTAACTTCCCTTCTACGTGACTTTACCGAAAGAACCAAGAACATGTATAACTATACCGTAAAAACTACGTATACGCCTTCCGTGTAATTTAGACTCGGATCTAATGTAAGCAAACAAATTATTATTTACAAATAACATCAGGCCGATTTTTAGTTCGTAATTATAAATGTCAATGTTAAATGTAAAACAATCTGCCCTCTCAAACACCCCCCCGTTTTTTTCCGAAGTGTGTTGGTCCTGTGACGTCACCAACAGCTGATCAGCCCGACCTGTGCCCTCCATTCGTTACCATTGCGTGCAGACGGCGACTGACGTTTTGTCTCCCAACACAGTGCACACTTCACCCTCTGAAGTTTATCGTGTTAAAGTCTGCCGTTGCAAAGGCAATCATGGCACAATTGCGTTTTGACGGACGTGTCGTGCTGGTGACGGGAGCCGGTGGAGGTATGGTATAATGAATCGAAAGTTTTTTTTGTTTGCGTTTCTATACTGATCGAGTCTACGGATTGATTTGACGTCGGATGTAACGTTGATGCGATTGCCACCCTATCTTACGTGTCGAGACGTGAATGTTGCACCGCGTACGTTAAGGTGTAGCCGATGCTTTCGTGCTCGTTCGTGCCCTGACGTTACTTCTCTTTGGGCCTATAGTGTTGGGCTTATTGCACTGTACCTACAGTAAAGTTGAGTAAAATTAAAGTTAAAAAAATCAGGGATTGTGGTGGAGTTGCTTTTTTGTTCTCTGTGTAAAACGCTGCAGTTGAACTTGCACCGGAGTTGGGACGTGTCCGTTCCTTTCCCCCCCATTTGGAAACTTGGCACATTGGTGCTCTGACCTCCAAGCATATGGTACAAAGTTCAGTGATAGCAAGTGAAGATAGGAAGGGCAGTGACAGTGGGAAAACAGTCTTATCTAGAGGATTATGTAAGGCCTGAATGTCGCCCAAAACTAAAATCTGCAGTTGCATTAAAGTTTGCTTGGTGAAGTCACTCATGATAACATTGATTAAAGCACCATTCGGCTGTACGTATGGCTTATTACCGCATTGCCATTGCTGCTGTCTGTATATATTGTTGGTGGTACGTGATGACAGATGAGCTAACTTTCCTCCACAAATGTTGACTGAAACAAAAATCCGAACCTTTGTCCACACCGGGCATGTGATGTGTGGCCTGTTGCAGACACTTTGCAATGTCACAGTGTTCAAATTCAATTTGTTATTTTAAATGTATATCGTATTTCCTTTTACAGGACTAGGAAAGGAATATGCACTGGCATTTGCGGAAAGAGGCGCGCTTGTGGTTGGTAAGTAAAGTGGCAAAATACCACAAAATGTAACCGATATTAAAGGGTGGATGTGCAAGTTGACACATACGTATAAACCGAAAAACTACCGGGGGAAAATCAAAACCATATGTATTGCACAATTATAATGAGTGCAGACTACAATGTTTTACTATGTGGTCCATATCTCCCATATTCAAGAATATAAAACAAGTTCAGAGAATTTGACTTTATATCCTCCTTATACTATGTTATGAGCATTTATTGAGCTAAATAATCCAACAGGGAATTGGGTTATTGGTTAGTTCACATGTGAGTCGGTTCTTTGCTGTCGATATGCATCGCAAAGTTAACTTACGAAATCTCATTAAACCATGTAAAACATAAAAACTATTTAAATGCTACCTTCACAAATGGTATAGCTATCTTTACACATCGTTTTGATCACGATAATTGGTCATGTTTATGCTGTAATAATCATTTTGTTGTTTTTTACATAGTGAACGATTTGGGTGGGGATATTAAAGGTGAAGGAAAGAGTGCAAGTGCAGCTGACAAGGTGGTTCAAGAAATACTGGCCAAAGGAGGCAAAGCTGTTGCCAATCACGGTATGGTGTGTTCATGGTGTATCCATTGCAATGCATTTTGCCTACAATTGCAAAGGCCTTCCAACGTTAAATTTCGATTTAAAGCTTTCGTGACTGCAGGGATTCATCTTCTTGGTTTTTTCGGTAAAGTCACGTAGTGAACGATTCTACGTGACTTTACCGAAAAAACCAAGAAGATGCCTTCCAACGTGTTTACCCATAGAACATGCAAGTGTGTATTTGAACTACTTACACAAATATGCCCATCCCTTTAATTTGCTAGCATGCTCTAATGATTAACCAAAATTTACTTTTGAAGTCGTACATGGCAGTGGTATAGTAATATTATGGATTGGTATGTCACAAGAAAGCTGCATTTCTGATCCGTCTCATTATTCTACTCGATATTTACCAAACAGATTCTGTGGAGGATGGTGAAAAACTGATTCAAAGTGCCCTGGATGCATATGGGCGGATAGGTAAGTCACACATTTTTTTGCACTGATTTATTTTGTTACTTAAATTTAATTGTAAGATTTATATTTCCCATTTTCAGCAAGCTGCACATTGATGTGATTTTTTTGTTTTGCAGATGTAGTTGTCAATAATGCTGGGTAAGTCTCATATATGTTCACCAACTTCAGTTACACGTATATTATAAAAAAATACGTATGGTTCTTGTGTCAATGTCGTGTGACAAAAATAACATCTTATTTTTTTTCTAGAATTTTGCGGGACCGCACTTTTCCTCGAATTAGCGATCAGGACTGGGGTAAGAAACAATAAAACCATCATGACCTTAATTATGAACGTGATTAATAGTTGTGTATATGCACAAGTACCCTTGATATTTTTATTTGTACTTTCTTTTTAGATGTTATTCAGAGAGTTCACCTCAGGGGTTCATTTCTGGTGACAAGAGCAGCATGGAACCACATGAAAAATCAAAAATATGGCAGGTAAGGAATTGGCACCGAAGGCTTATTTTGCACATGTATGATTTGAAAATTGAAACAAATAGACATTAATTAAACAAGTCTTACAATAGTTTTGCAAAGGAGACAGAAATTACGAGCATAACAGTCATAATACCGTTGCATCCCGGAACCGTCCGAGATTTAGACAACTTAGGAAAGCCTTTATCCAGGCTTGGATTGATTTTTGGCGGATGAAAGTGATAACACGTGGTCATAATACAGTCATGCTGAATGCTTATAACTTTCACCCCTTCCCCACCTGGATTTTCTCTTTTGATATGTCTGTAGAATCATAATGACATCCTCATCTTCGGGAATCTATGGAAATTTTGGCCAGGCCAATTACAGTGCAGCTAAGCTGGGCCTACTGGGCTTGTCCAACACCATCGCGATCGAGGGACAGAAGTACAATGTGCAGTGCAACACAGTGGCGCCCACCGCCGGCTCGCGACTCACCCAGTCCGTCATGCCTCAGGGTGTGTGCACGGGACTTGCCAAACTGCACGTGCCTCATTTTTCTTCATGATTTAAGCCCTGTAATATTGAAAAATCAGATTTTTTTAAAATAAATAGAATATTTACTTTTTGATTTAAAGCTTTCGGGACTACAAGGATTCATATTCTTGGTTCTTTCGGTAAAGTCACGTAGAAGGGAAATAATAAAATAAAATAAATATAAAACAATAAACATTTCTTGCTGTGGATTTCACACCTGATGACGATTGCTTGTGTTGCAGTCGAAACGTGATAATTTTTATTGTTTCATATTTTAATTATTTGATTATTTCCCTTCTATATGACTTTACCAAAAGAACCAAGAATAAGAATATATACTGTTTATGCTATTTGTGTCATGTCAGGAGATGAAGAATCCGTTCGAATCTCTCGGAGAACAGTACAACCCTTTGTGTTAGAGAAGGCCTCACAGAAGTGGATATCAGAGCTACCTTTAAGATCCCTTTAATCGGCCCTCTGATCCACACAGTAGAGGGCAGCATTTCTCACCATCTCTTCAAATGAGTGTAATTCTCATCGCATGACCGTCAGATAATACTTTAGTTCTCAGAGTTGGCATTTATGCAAGTTAAGTTCAGAAGCAAATGTTACGTGATGGGTTTTTTTGTGCATTCCCTGGTGACTGGGTTGAGAACCCATTTTAATTACCGGTAGCTGCCTAGATTCAAACCCAGAATTTCACTGGTGCTAGCTCAGTGCAGTGGTCTCTTGAGTCCCCCAGCCACCTATCAAATTGCTGTTTTTATAATGATTTGCCAAACATATACTGTTCATGGAATTCATGTTTTTGGATACATTCTTGATAAGAACGTGTAAGTGTGCACATGTATACTTATATACAGTTTTTAACATTCATGCACCCAGTTTCAAGTGTGCTTGTACTGTGAATTGAAAAAAATTATATACACGTGCTTGTGATTGTGTTAGAAAATGTTATAATGTTACGTGTATCTGAGGGGTAACTGCTCACTGACACTTGTTTCTCTAGAACTTGTGGATGCCCTTAAGCCAGAGTTTGTGGCCCCACTGATTCTGTGGCTCTGCCATGAGAGCTGTCAGGATACCGGCAGCATCTTTGAGGTGAATTAATTAAATGTGACTCACGTTTGCAATTTGGGATGTTTGGTGTTGATTTTGGTAAAGTGTACAGGTAAACAGGCCCAGCATTGGAGGGGGGGGGACACCCTGGTGTTGGTGACCAAAGGGAAGACCTAAACTCAGATGGGATACGATCATAGCATTTTGTGCATTGGGTGTTGAATTTTCCTCCCTATTCTAGGATCTAGTAGAAGGAAGAAAATTATGGCGAGGTATGGTGACATGAATTGTATTGGTTTTGTTGGCAAATTGACTTAATTTATCGGTCTTGTATGTATGGTGAACATATTGTGCGCCGTACGTAATCAACCATTCAAATCTGAGGTGCGGGGGAAGGCCAACAAACTAAACACCAAAAATGTACAGTCTTACATGTTAGTTTTTATTTTTTTAATCACTTTTACACACCAGTGTTTTGACTTTAATCTACTTTGACGTTAAGTGTGCACTAAATATATTGTAGCATTTTATCTGTCATTTCAGGTTGGAGCTGGTTGGGTTGGAAAATGTAAGTGCTTTAATTTTTCAACGTTTTAAGATGTATTTTTCGACCTTGGTCATCTCGCTAATCTATTCTTAAATACCATGAGTATGGACGAGGTTACTTGCAGTGTACAGAGTAAGACACACGGTGGCACTATCAACATGCTGGAATGTCGTGCACTGCTAAGACTGATTAACATTCAAGAATTCAAAGTAACACTTGTTTAATCACATATTGTAGTGACATTGTATTAGATGTCATTTTATGTCACGATATAATAACGATGTGCTGCTGTCCAAATGAGGACAAATTATATTTGCACGAACAGTACAATTAATCTTTTAGCTGCATCATTGAGCAAGCTGCATTTGTACAATTCGTCATTGTTTTCAGTGCGTTGGGAGCGGTCAAACGGTGCAATTCTGCGGACGAAAGGCAAGCCCATGACACCCGAAGCAGTGCGGGACAACTGGGATAAAGTCTGTGACTTTACTGATAGCACACATCCCAAGTCATCTCAAGGTAAAGCGATAATGAGAAGACTGGCAGGGCGCATCATCGCATGCATGAGAATAAACCATATTGCTTCCAAAAGCACTAATTGACTAGTTGTTATGAGACAGCAAACATGGATTATACATAGTATTTTAATTACTTTTTTACAATTCAGCTTACTGATGTGAGTATGTATTTGGCTTTTGGAACCATCGCCTGATTGGTAATGATGCAGTTAAAGGTTCCCGCAATTTTGTGATGGCAAAGCAGAGGAATTTGATTTTGGTAATTCATGCAGGTGTTGGTCTCTTAAATGCTTTGGCTTAAGATCCCAAAATTTCCTGAGGTCTCCTACACTCCTATGGAAGGTCTGTACATTTTTTCAGTGTGATTTTGAACAACCAAAAAAAAACCTCACATGTTAAACCACCATAAATAATACATGGCAAAGTTTATATTTGTTATTCAGATTCATTAAATCACTTTCTATTACACGCTAAACACTTTTGACTGGCTACACTCAGGGATTCAGTAATGTTTTGCCAGTGCGGCATGACATGTCAAGAGGGGGCATGTTGTGTTCTGTGGACTTTGTCCAGGGAGCCAAGCACATTTCACTGGGTAGGTGGGTAAGGGACTCGCAAACTTATGAGGTTAGCGAATGGGATGGTATTTAATTGCAAACTCATGCATGCGTTGCTCCCAAAATACTTGTCCATTCACTTGCACTGAACTCTTCTACATTTTCCAGATGACATCTAATTGTGACATTCAATGTTAAAGGCAGAAAAAGTGATGTTGCTCACTCGGTTGCATTAATTTCTAAAGGCAGTTTGTGGACAAGTCTGCTGTCCTGGAAACAGCCAACTATATTACAGTTCCGAATTATACCAACATCCATACTGGCAAGTGAACCAAATTCCCAGTGAATATGATCAGATTGCTTGTTATAAAATGCCTTCTTAGTATCAAACAAGCGAGCCATCCCGTATTTATTTTACAGAATGGCACTACTATGGTGAAGTGTTAATCTGTGCCCTAATAATTATTTTCATAGTCTTGAGTATCTCAAACAGTTGCTGACATTTTGACAAAGAAGAATAATAAAGTGCCTTTTGGCATCCTTTGGTCTAACACCGTTTGAGACGAGGCTCAATATAAAGCTGTCCAATCAGTTTCAAGGACAATGCATATATTATCAGAGGATGTTTCTTGTTTGCATTCTGACCACGAGCATTTTGGTTAATGCAGACATGTTTCCTTGTAAAAGGTTTCAGTTTGGTGTATTAACATCTGTATTGTTGCCAGAAAATACCTGTATTGTTGCCAGAAAAAGGGGAAAAACCTATTATAATAATAAAGTGCTTATCGGGTTACATATCAACCTCCACAGGTCAAATCATTGACCCCTTTCCTTTTAAATGCCATCTTAATTAGCTTGTATTTATATTCGTTGAGCACTGAGGAAGAAACTACAATAGCGTTTAATGTTGGTGCAGTCAAGCAGGCACTGAATCAGCTTCACAATATATATATATTCCGCTTGTGTTGTAATCGAAACGTCGTGATTAATTTTATTTTATACCTACGTGACTTTACCGAAAGAACCAAAGAGTATGGATTCCTGCAGTCACGAAAGCTTCAAATCAAGAATATATCTTTGTTTGCCACCACATTACCCGTGAATCCCCCACCCACGACTACTTTCAAAATAACAAATCGCTGTGCAATCTGAACTATGTCATGAGCACCGTCACCTGTGATTGGCCTCCAGGGAGGGGAGGGCATGCAAATGTTTCAGACGAGAGTACACGGTGTCACTCGGAGCCATGTTGGTGTATCCCACTCCCCACTCTCCGAGTCTTCTGTCAAGCTGCCTTTGCCCTTTCCTAAGCACCCCCCAACCCCCCCCCCCTCCCCGCTGGGACAAAGCATTCTGTAAAATGGTGTCACTTAGAATACATGTTAGCCATTTAATGATTTAAGTTGCTGGAGGGGCACTTTCTGCTTTGTGCATGCATTATGTGGGATGTGCACGCTTTGGCTTTTGGACACCTTTTAATAAAATTAAAGGCCGTTGATTTTTACCATTACTTGGATTGCACGGTAGTTCTCTTGTCATGTATGCATTGACCACAACTGATTTAATGTCACACTGTAAACAGGGTAATGTACTTGTTTTATGTCCTTCGTCTACGTTGATTTTGTCTACATTTTGAATTATGGGGTTGTGCTTATAGAAGCCTCTTATTTCCTTTTTTCTCTGCTGTGCAGTTTGCTTGCAGCTAATGGGTCTGACCCCAGTGGAAGCCGAGACTTAATCGCTTAAAAGCATTTTTGGCTATGTCTTCACTTGCAGGAATAGCGTTAATGGAAACATGCACCATCAATGTTGGTCTACAAAAATTGTGCTTTAACTTTACTCCTGCACTAATGTGTCATTGTTTATTAAAGTAATTAACTGTTAATTCCTTCGTTGGTTTCTAATATCAGGTTTATTGTGCATTTTCCACGTACCCTATAAAAATACTTGCAAAGATAACGTGATATGAGATGTTTGTTTTTATTTAATTTGTAATGCATATTATATTTCTATGGTCCTTTTCAGAATCTACAATAATGTACTTGGATGTGCTTCGGAAGATTGATGAGCAACAAGGAATTTCCCCTGTACCTGCCAGTGGGACTAAAGTTGATCCTGTATGACAACCCTAATATCCATACTCTTTATCTTTATAGAAGGTTCCAGAGTAATGAGCCAAAATACACTGCCCTGGTTTTGGTTAATATTTTTTCTGGTATCAACAATACTTTCTACAGTTTTATATGAAAGTAGTTGTGCTTTGTTTGTTTTATTTGGGTTGCTCAAATAGATACATTGTTTTAATGCATGAGTAGTATGATAAATATGGAGTCAAAAGTACACACTATTTTATAAAGTGTAAGTGTTATTTTCCATTATCATTTGCTTTTATTAATGCAAAAGTTAACACTGCTGCATATAATGAAAGACGATTTTTCTAAATTAATTGATCCTCGGAGTCGCTTTTACATTGCTTAATTTGATTAATGAGTTGTGTCTTCAAGGGGATATACACCAGGTTATCCAATGTAATTAGTGACAGTTCAGTGCATACAAGTCAGCGATGTGTGGACACATCCAGCAATTAATTCCAGGGCAGTACCAAATATGAAACCATGCTGTTGTTTAAACACTGAAACTGACTTTTACAAAGCAAAAGTTGCAACGAATGTCTAATTGCTCCATGTACACCTTGATATTCTTGTTCCTTTGATTGTTTATGTTTGAAGTTGAGATTAAACGAATTCACTGAATTGCATTTACAGAAACACTTTCACATCTCACTGTTCAGTTAGCTCATCCTCCACATTAACTCGTGCGTGGACAAGAAAGGTGTACTTTGATCACATTAATATATTGTTGGGTTTTCTCTCCTAAAGGGACAAGCTGTGGGCTTTAAGATGCCACCCTTTGTGTACGAGTACACCTGGCTGCAGCCCATCTTGTACTCCCTGGGGGTGGGGATGTCGACAACTTCCGATGGTGGCAGGTGTTTCCTCTACGAGGGACACCAGGATTTCAGCTGTCTGCCCACATTCGGGGTCATCCCGGCCCAGGCCATCTTGATGAATGGGCAACTGAGCAATGTGCCAGGTCTCTCATTCGAACCAGCAAAAGTGAGTGACCGTTGTCGCCTTCACGAACTTGGAATGTGTCATCCTGATGAATTGATGGAACTTGTTTAAATGACGATTGTTACATTTGAAGCACTTATATTAACTGGAAATAACGTGAAATAAATCACTACAATTTTGGATTGTTTACTAGAGTTCTTGACCTGGGCAAACTGAGCCCAATTCTCTTTTTAAATGTGGAAAAATCAAAGTGCTTTACTATATTAAGTCACTACTTTGCAAAAAAAGTCGTATTTGGAATCTGAATATCTGGACTTGTCCAGTGACTGCTGAGAAAGATCAGCTGACAACAGGGGAAAGTCCTTGTGGCGGCACGGAGAGACGGCTGACAGGAGGGAATAGACCCCATTGGGACAGTCATGGGTTAGCTTCCCATTTCTGTAGTTTCCCATGCTTCGCAGTATGTTGGAAACACCCGATTTAGCTACAGAAAGTCAACATACGAGAATACCCCTAGAGTCTGCGAGAGCGGGGGCGGAAGATGACTCATCGACTGACAACATGGTAACGACTGGACCGGAAACGACTACGAGAAATGAGAGCACAGCACAAGAGAACACCACAGCAACTGTCACAAGTTCCGCTGCAACAGCAGGCCACAAACAGATGCAGGTATGTGTCTGTGGTTGGAGGAAAGTTACATCACACCATGGGTTGAGGATCCACCAGAGGAAGAAGGGGTGTTTGGGTAAAGAGAGACAGAGGCCTCGCATTGATTACTTTCTGCGAAAGCGATCAAATCAGTCGAATGAAGCACAGCAACTGGACGCAAACCATAGTTTGCAGTGCATCAGTACCACTGTCATGGAGGACGTAAACTCAAGCACCGAAGTAACAACTGAGGTGGAACCAACAACAGGAGTGGAACTCACCCAGCCTCCGAGACCTGCAATCGAGAGGAGACTACCAGGGCACAGACCGTATGTGAAGTGGCCTGGCGCCAGTGACAAGAAGTTGTGGGAAACAGTGAATACTGACCTTACCTTGACCCTCGAGAAACTTCGAGGCACTGTGGAGAAGAAGTTGGAGAGGATGGGGGACATCATCTATGAGTACGGGGCAGAAAGCTTTGGAGTGCAAGAGGCAAAAGGCGGGAGAAAGGTTCCAACCCCACCAGTTTCCAGGAGGCAACAAGAAATCAAGCGCCTCGTTCAAGAAAGGAGACAGCTTAAGAAACAGTGGAAGAAAGCCTCTGAAGTGGAAAAGGAGGGCATAGAGGGCACTTCAGGCTGACATCAAAACCCGGTTGGCATCCCTCCGTAGAGCAGAGAACCTACGGAAGCACAGAAGGAAGAAAGAACAAACTAGAACTCGATTCTATAAAGATCCCTTCAAGTTCCTTAAAAGTCTCTTCACGAAGGAAAAAAGTGGAGTTCTAAAAACAACAAAGAAAGACCTAGAAGAGCACCTGAGAACAACAAACTTTGACTCAAAGCGACATGAACATCTGGCCATCCCATCAGATATTCCACCCATTGAACCCCCGGAACATCATATTGAGACCAGCCCTCCGACATGGAAAGAGGTGGAAAACACAGTTCGAAGGGCAAGAACAGCATCAGCCCCGGGGCCAAATGGAGTCCCGTACAAAGTGTATAAGAACGCACCAGACGTCCTGAGGTTCCTCTGGAGGCTTATGAGAACAGCTTGGCAAAAGAAGATAATACCCAAAGTGTGGCGTAGGGCAGGCGGGGTCCTGATCCCTAAGGAGAAGGATGCAGTGAACATCAGCCAATTCCGTCCAATCTCCTTACTGAATGTCGAGGGTAAAATCTTCTTTAGGATCATTGCCCAGAGGATGGCCGAGTACCTGCAAAGGAATGCGTACGTCGATACATCTGTACAGAAGGCAGGAATATCAGGGTTTTCTGGCTGCTTGGAACATTCCAGCATGATCTGGCACCAGATCCAAATGGCCAAGGTGGAGAAAAGGGACCTCCATGTAGTCTTCCTCGACCTCGCCAATGCATTTGGCTCTGTGCCCCATGAACTCCTGTGGTCTGCCTTCAGATTTTTCCACATACCGGACACCATCACAACCCTGGTGAAGTCGTACTTTCAGGATCTGCAGTTCTGCTTCACCACCTCAGAGTTCACCACCTCATGGCAATGCCTGAATGTAGGTATAATGGCGGGATGTACCATTTCTCCATTGGCATTCATAATGGCAATGGAGGTTATCATCAGATCCTCAAAATGGGTTGCTGGTGGACAGCGAGTCGACTCTGGTTTTCGCCTCCCTCCACTCAGAGCCTACATGGACGACATTACAACATTGACCACCACTGTCCCATGCACCAGGAGACTGCTCAGAAAACTCGAAGGAGAACATCAGTTGGGCCCGTATGAAGATTAAACCATCCAAGTCACGCAGCATCTCGATTGTGAAGGGAGTACTCTGTGACCTGAAATTCTTCATCGGAGATGACCAAATCCCAACAGTGTCTGAGCAGCCGGTAAAAAGCCTTGGAAGGTGGTATGATGCAAGCCTGAAGGACAAAGACCAGGTGCAACAGCTGCGCAAAGACATCAGTAGTAGCCTACAGTCCATCGACAACACCCAGCTACCTGGAAAGTTAAAGGCCTGGTGTCTGCAGTTTGGTCTCCTACCCCGGGTGTTGTGGCCCCTAGCAGTGTATGAGGTTCCAATCTCAACAGTGGAGAAGATGGAAAGAGGAGCCACGAGCTACTTAAAGAAGTGGCTCGGAGTTCCACGATGCCTTACCACCATAGGCCTCTATGGAGATGGTGTCCTCAAGCTGCCCCTCACCAGTCTAACCGAGGAATTCAAGTGTGCAAAAACCAGGCTCCAGATGACACTGAATGAATCTCGAGACCCAGTGGTGAGCAACAACGCGCCGACCTTGGCAACTGGGCGCAAATGGAGGCCAGGAAAAGCAGTCCAGGAGGCAACAGCAGCCCTCAGACATGCTGACATTGTGGGTCATGTTCAGCAAGGGAGAGGAGGCCTTGGGCTAACTAGCCGTGCTGCTTGGAGTAAGGCCACTGCACCAGAGCGGCGGAAGATTGTAGTGCAGGAAGTACGCCATCAGGAGGAGGCTGCAAGGTGGGCCAAGGCAGTCTCTCTTGCCAAACAAGGACAGTGGACTCGATGGGACAGTGTGGAGAAGAGGAAGATCAGCTGGAAGGATCTGTGGGCCATGGAAGCGAGGCGGTTGAGCTTTTCCATCAGAGCAACATATGACATCCTTCCAACACCAGTTAATCTTCACCAATGGTATGGTGAAGATCCGGACTGTGCCCTCTGTTCCATGCCAGCCAACCTCAGGCACATTCTCACAGGGTGTAAAACAAGCCTCACCCAAGGACGCTACACTTGGCGTCACAACCAAGTCCTTAAAAACCTTGCGTCCGCCCTGGAGGACAAGCGAGCTGCCACCAACTCCCTACCACCCCCAGCAGCATCACACCCCTTACGGACGACCTTTGTCCGCCAAGGGGCTAAACCACCGAAGAGCGGCTCTACACCAATAGAGCGAGACCAGCTGCGCTTGGCCCGCGACTGGAAAATGCTAGCTGACATTGGCCGGCAACTTGTGTTTCCTCCGGAGATCGCAACCACCACCCTAAGACCTGACATGGTGCTCTGGTCCCGTTCGCTCAAGAAGGTCTTCATCATTGAGCTCACAGTACCCTGGGAGGACTCAGTAGATGAGGCTTATGAGCGAAAACATCTGCGCTATGCCGATCTAGCTGCCGAAGCACGGCATCATGGCTGGAACACAGAAGTCCGACCAGTGGAGGTGGGCTGCAGAGGTTTTGTGGCAACATCTACAACCAGACTGCTTAGAGACCTGGGAATTAAGGGCCAGAGCCAGCGTTCGGCAATCAAAGCTGTATCGGAGGCGGCAGAAGGCAGCAGTCAGTGGCTCTGGATGAAGAGGAAAGACCCCAGCTGGGCCCCAAAGTGAGAGGGCCAGGAGGTATGCAGTCAACAATGCTTGACTCAGGGAGGAGGACGCCCCTGCCATGCATAGTCCCATGGGATGTTGGCTACCAACAACAAGGCAACTCCTATGACTAATTGGGAATGGGACGCAAGCGTAGGATTGATCACCCTGTCGCTGGCCGCCTTTGGGGAGGGTGTATAGTATGAAAGGCTGAAACACCCTAGGAACCAAAGGGTCACTACTGACGATGCGCTCCCCAAATTTCACCAGGCTCACTGTTCATGAACTCTTGGAAGTGCTTGCACAAAGGATAGTAACATCTCATCCTGTGTTCTTTGGAATAATAGAAAATTTCTTATTTTTGTTGTGTAGTCTTTGCATGGAGAACATTATTTGGAAATCTTCAAGCCCTTGCCAACATCAGGTAATTATATTGCGAGATGTTGCTTTAACTATGTGTACTAATAGTACATTTTTGCCAGACAAATATGGCCTTTCCCACGCACGTGTCTCATAAATATGAGTGCTCTTTTCCAGGGAAGATGATTGTAGAAGCAACCATTGCAGACGTTTTGGACAAAGGATCTGGGTGCTTGCTCCTGCTTGATGGTAAATGTTCATGTATTTTTTTCCCAGTTAAAACAATATGAGTAGGATCATATTCTAAGATAATTTAGTAAAAAAAAAAACGTTTTTGGAAATGATGTACAGGGTGACATGCACTATTTATATCATTACCAATTATTTGGATTGCATCTTCAGGCAATGTCATTTCAAAGTGAATAAGTTCATGCCTGCTTATGACTAAATCACCTGGAATGCATCTCCATATCTAAGCGGGGTTGAGCCTGGATAGTGCTTGGATGGGTCACGGCCATGCACAACTGGGCGCTATAAGTTGCTGCTGGACTATGTAGTGGGTAGCAGAGGGAAGTGCAACCAAATATATAGTTTGCCCTGTACTTCTTTGCTCCCATACCTACACTTTCCCACCTTATACCAACCGGCACTGGCCAGCATGGTGAAGTATGGTCATTTCATCCCCACAACCTGTCGAATGTAGGGAGGCCATCATCCAGCAGTGGATTGACAAAGGGCAGTACTTGTTCATCATGTGCATCAATGATTCTCTTTTTACCGTGTGGTGACAAGCAAATGTACGGATTACCTTCTTCCTGCATTGACAGTGTTCACCTACAACGAGAACAAGGAGCCAATTTGCTTCAACCAGTTCTCGGTGTTCGTAGTCGGTGCAGGGGGATTTGGTGGCAAGCGGTCATCTGACAAAGTTAAGGTAAGCCTTAATTACTGGAGAGCGATGTTGTCACATTGTTAATTAGTGCGTTTGCAGTGGTTCCTTTGTTATTGCAGTGTTGTTTGTGTTCATGTACCCTTGATTTAATAGTGCTTTGTTCAGGTTTTTTTTAAGTTGTGAATTCGAAAGTAATTTCAAACCCATTCCTTTGTGTTTCTAAACCACAGCCCACTGTGGCTATTCCGAAGAGGTCTCCAGATGCATCCGTTACAGACAAGACCAGCTTGGACCAAGTAAAGTGATCCTATCTGATATTATTGACCCGTTGCATGTGCACAATTATTTCGGTGGATTCAACAACTGATTACAAAAAATACTGTAGAATAAATTTTTTACATCTCGATCTTTTTCTAGACGTATCCGCATGCATTTAAAAATGTATTCTGTCTTGTGTGATTTTTGTGTATATATTTTTTGTATGTTATGTATTTTTTTCCTCTCAGGCTGCTCTGTATCGGTTGAGCGGTGACTGGAATCCCCTTCACATTGATCCAGAATTTGCAGCCATTGTAGGCAAGTGCTTCCACTGTCTATACGAGGAAAGCAGCAGAGGGAACTAGTATTAATTGTGTTGGGTCACTCACGAATCACATTAGCGCACATAATGTAAAAATGTAGTGTTGTTTGTGGGCCAAATTATCCAATGATTATTGTGATTTACATTGCTTGCAAATCTTTATTTGCGAAAGCACTACTTTTATATGACCAATCTAGAAATAAATATCCCATAGCCATTTCATTTTCCTTGAACTGAAGTCGTTTAACTTTTTTGGAATCTAAAGAATAGATGAATAAGCTTTTGGTTTATGTTTGTTCTTCAATGAATTCATGGATAAGACATGATCTGTCTTCCACTGTGATTGCCTTCACAGGTTTCAAACAGCCCATTTTGCACGGGCTGTGCTCATTTGGATTTTCTGCACGTCACTTGCTCAAGCAATATGCTAATAATGACACAAGCAAGTTCAAGGCCATCAAGGTACTGGTCTGATTGTTCTGATCCTTAATTCCTTAAAACGCGTACTGAAAACATCTGCATTATAGTTTTCAAGCCAGCTTTGGCGCACATTGTTATTGTGACACTTTTATTTTGTACAATCTGAACCTGTTTCAACATTGGACGACCACACTTTTGATAGAGTTTCTGAATTTTTAATGGAACGAAAAATGAATTCCCATCTCTTTAGGCAAGGTTTGCCAAGCCGGTTCTCCCAGGGCAGACTCTGCAGACGGATATGTGGAAGGAAGGCAGTCGGGTTTTCTTCCAAACCAAGGTGGGTCAAGCAAAGACTAACCCTGTCTGTCACATTATTAACTTACAAAAAGATAACCATGAACATTGTGGTGATGGTAGCTTCTCTCGTGGCTGCAGGGTCACGTAAACTAATGACTGCAATTTCTTCGGATTTAAAAACATCGATTCTTACAAACAATATTCGGTAATGTTGCGTCAGGTTAAGGTTAGATAATAATCAATGAACTTATAAATGTTTACACCCCCTACTTAACCATGTCATAAAATCACTAATGGTAAGACTTAATATACTATTTTTTTTATATAAATGTACAAGCCTGTCTGTAGTGTTTTGAAAAATAAATATATAAGTTTGTGTAATTTTGCTATGTATATTTATTTGAAGTTGTATAGCTAAGTGTATTTGAAAATGTCACCTTTGTAACAGATTGCAATATGCAATGTGTACTGTGACATTTATATTTTCCCTCCCCTGATATCAGATATGAAAGTTTTGTGAAACGTATGATCAGCAGTGTGGATGGGTGTAGCGAGGTGCAATGCCCCCCCCCCATCTCTACCCCCCTCTCTCCCCCTATCTCTACCCCTCCTCTCTCTCCCCCCATATCTCTACCCCTCCCTCCCTCCATTGTCTAACACACTTGGACTGCGCCCTTGCTCCACCCCTTTCTCTCCCCCCCCTCTCTCCCCCTTTCTCTGCCCCCTCCCTCCCCCCATTGTCTAACACACTCGTTTTATACTCCTACTTCTAGTGCTTGACTTCTACATGAGCACTGGCTGCCCCGCCCATGCCGTTTACGCCGCACAGCTTTGCTCACTCTGGAAGCCCTTAGAAGCAGTTGCATTTGGAGGCTTGCCTCCTCTTTGTCTCCGCCCGCTTGTGTTGCGATCGAAACGTCGTGGTTTTTTGCTTTAATTTTTCATTTATTGAATTTTTATTTCATATCTACGTGACTTTACCGAAAAAAACAAGAATTTGAATTCCTGCAGTCACGAAAGTTTTAAGCCAAAAAGTATGATCAGCGTGCCTTGGGTAGGTAATTTTTACTTGGTGCTTCCAGTTTGTGTTTATTTTCATAAGTGTTTATCCTTGTCCTCAGGTGGTTGAGACCGGAGAAGTGGTTCTGGCCAATGCTTATGTGGACCTCAAAGGTGATGACACTCCGACTGTTGCTCCACAGCCTCAAAACGTAAGTCGACCTCAGGGTTTGCGGTGGCACCATTCCAAGAAACTGCTCTCATCTGAAAGCATTGCTTTTGGTCATTTTGAATAATAACGCATACTTACTTGGATTTAGATTGAAGCAAGACCATAGAAAGTGCACCGGTATGGGAAAAAGCTAATTAGTGTCCCGTGTGTCTTAATCAGACTGTTTTAACAGTTACCTGGTAGGCATGTTAATATGTTTTACATTCTCGACACATCTGATGAGGCCAATTTTAATTGGCCATAGTTTCTAACGTTTAATTATTGTTTTACTTCTACTACATTGATCCTTCTTTTCTTGTGTACACTTAGGCCACTGGGCTGCAGAGTGAGCTCGTCTTTTCTGAAATTGCCAACCGGATAAAGGAAAAAGGCGCAGACTTCGTGAAGAAAGTAAATGCCATCTTTCAGTGGGAAATCACCAAGGATGGCAAGACTGCGGCACAGTGGAGTAAGTGACTTAGTTGTTTAATGTTCTTTAACCCCAGTGAGTGGCACGTAGCATGGTTGGCATGGACCCTGAGACAAGGAATGAAGGGGAGATCCCCTGCCAAATGCCACCCGCCCCCACCTCCCAACTTCATAACTCGGATTCTGGGCCCCTTTGCATCTGCACCATCTGCACACTCGATAGCTATGCAACTGTCTTTCATGTTGCATTTGGCATACTCTGATAATATATATGATCAGATTATATTTATATTATGCATTCTGACCACAAGCATTGTGGTTAATGCAGACATGATTCCTTGTAAAAGGTTTCAGTTTGGTGTTTTAACATCTTGACACTGGTTTTGTTGCAAGAAAAAAGGGGAAAAACCTATTATCATATTTTGGTACTGGCAAAGGAGGTCCCGTGATGATGATTGTAAATTAAGGTTCAAGTTTTTGCTTCATGAAGAGTTCTTTGGTTTTTATTTTCACACCATTTAAAAGCATTTGCTTTTGTATAGTACAAATCCAACATTAAAACTATGTACCAAGTTGGCAATGTGCAAGATTGGTGTAATTCAATATCTTTTTTTTTTATTCACGCCATGGATTTTGTACCATTTCCACTTTAGGGTAAAGGGAAAGTATTCAGTAGTGCATGTTGTTCTGCAGCTATTGACCTCAAGACTGGCCCCGGTGAAGTCTACAAAGGGAATCCTCGAAAGGGACGTGCCGACACCACTTTCACTCTCTCGGACGAAGACTTCCTTGAAATTGTCCAGGGAAAGCTTAATCCACAAAAGGTACTTTGTCTTTACATTGTTCTTTATATCATGGTATGTCTCGGTAGCATAACAGTGTTACAACGTTTACTTTTTTCTTTACACCAGGCTTTCTTTTCTGGGAAGATGAAGGTGAAGGGGAACATCATGTTGAGTCAAAAGCTGGAGGATATTCTGAAGCAGAATGCCAAGCTGTAAGGTGTGAAGCAATTTTACTGTGGCATTAGGTGGTGCAAAAGTTGCATTTTGCTCAGCTACCCAGCACATAAGATTAACATGTTTAATTCAACTTTTTGAGCTTGTGATTATTTTGGAAAGAATAACGGCAAGGTTTATCGTTAACCAACACTAATGACGGTAATGTAGGATTCCGATTGAATGCTTATCAGAAAAAAAGTATATTGCTTGCTAATACATGATAATACATGTTAGAATATTTCTTACTATACATTTTTCTTGTGTAGAATATTAAATGCATTTGAATTCTTGAATTACCTTTTCTAATTACGAAATCATCTCCTGGTAAAGTTAGATTTTGTTTGGTTGTGAACCATTTCCGATTGACTTTTAATTTAAATTTGCAACCACTAGGTGACGCCACGTAATGTGTGCTGTAAGAATTGCACTCTTTTCTTGACTTTCATAATAAAGGCCTTTGGTTATCATAACTTTTCTGTGTGATGGTACCGAATTCTTTCACTGTTGGATGAAACCCTCACCCATACCATGTCGGTCATGGGAAGTTTTTTTGACCATACTTAACCTCGTGTTGGTCAGGTGGAGGTTGGTAAAAGGGGGGGATGCCAACACCATAGCGCAGTGTGCTAATCACTCCACCACTACTCCTCCCCGATTACAAATGGTGCATTGTCTAAAATCACTTTATAAATGTGAAATGTGCAATTATGAGTCTCCTTTGTAAAGAAAATAGGTTGGTAGTGCATTTTGAATGCTGTAATTTACGGAGATTCATGGAAATCTGCATTCAATACAGTTCCAAAATGCAGAAGACTGTACAATTAGTTATTTCGGAATTGACAGTGTCATGAATCCAACAAGTTTCCTGCAGCATGGGAGTGTGTGCTGATGGGTCTGATGAATAGTATGGCTCTTGCTTAGAGCCATCTGGCAACATATCACTGTTGAGACCTGGAAGGTTGAAAATAATCCAGAGTTTTCCTGCTTGAACAAATCCTGCTCTATATTAGTCTGGAAAATATTTTTAAAACCTAATATAATATTTACCAATTGTTCATGATCGATTGTCCCTGATCCTTTAACACAGTGGTGAGTACAGGAATGGGAATTTTGGCGATTGCATGGTGAGAGAATTATGGTAATTGTCCTGCTGAAAAAAAACCCCTTTAGAAAAAATAATGGATGTGTTCACTTGTTTACATTTTATGGAAAATGTGGACCAATTTTCAAAAATTAACTTTTAATGTAAAAAATACTGTTAATATCCGATGATTTGATAATCGTTCACAGTTTGTTAAATTTGCAATTTGCAGCTTTACAATATTGGCTCGTATATGAACACATTTAACTAGATTTAAAAAAATAGTATCTTCAGCACAATAAATTCTGAAACCTTTGAATCTTGCAGTGATAGAGTGGCCACGCTTCCAGCATTAATAATTGGTTGCGGCTATTTGAAGTTCAATTTATTTAGCCACACTACATAGCCTGTGGGGATGCTTCGATACTGAATAGGATATTATATCCATCACTGATAACTGTAATATAGGAAACAATTCGTGCCATGCAAAGCAATTTTTGTATTTTCAATAGCGGCAGCTTGGCATAAACAATGCAAAGTATGTAATATATATGAATGAAGCCCATTTGAGTTTACTCAATTTTACAAAAAGATTAGAAGACAGTTAATTTTGATAGACATTGGGGACAAATATCAGTTGTCCAAGTTCACTTGATCATTTCTAAAGATACACAATGCCAATATCCTGGAAATGTTTACTAAACACGTTTATTAAAATAACCCTTTTTCTGGAAAGATGACTAATGTGAAACAATGGTCTTGACAGTAATGTGAAGGAATATAAATGCGGATATATATTTAAACTCGGGGCATTGAATAGCTTTGCTTAAACTGAAATGATTCAATTCTAGATTTGAAGTTTTCGTGACTGCAAGGATCCATACTCTGGTTCGTTCGGTAAAGTCACGTAGGTGAAAATAAAAAAATAAGAATTAAAATAAAGAATTTATATATTTTTATTTTTTAAATATATTTTCATATATTTATTTTTTATTTTTATTCTTATTTTTGTATTCTTATTTTTGTATTCTTATTTTTTTTCACCTAAGTGACTTTACCAAAAGATCCAAAGAGTATGAAATGATTCACTTAAGAGGGCAGGCCTCTTGTCATGTTGATGAGTTACTTGACATACGCCATCCACCTCTCTCCCATCTCGATATGGCTAGAAAATAAGCCGGGGCATGAGTTTATGACCACAATATCATTAATTAATGTCTATATTTCGTGCACAAATGCAATATAGTCGCCCACATGAAAGCACACACATGTACATTTTAATTATATTCTGCTTCCTGCAAATGTTAAGCATTGTAAGAGAGTGGCAATGTTTACCTCTGCGTCAGCCATTGGTCTATCCACTTCTAAATGAAGGACTTCCCACACAATCCCCCCCACCCTCTTTTGAGCTGATCTCATCACTCCATCTCAGTCATGGTCATCCTTTCTGGCATGTTCTGTGAGGCTGCTATTCTGTCACGAGTATCATCCACTGGCCATCATTCCTTTTGTGCAGCCCTCACCGTATACATTCTGGAGCCAGTCAGTCAATAGAATGTATCTACCGTTCTAGATTTGAAGCTTTCGTGACTGCAAGGATTCATATTCTTAGGTTTTTTCGGTAAAGTCACGTAGGTGAAAAATTAAAATTAATAAAAGTAAAATAATAAAAGTAAAATAAAATAAAAATATTTTACTTTTATTAATTTTAATTTTTTACCTACTTGACTTTACCGAAAAAACCTAAGAATATGTATCTACCGTGCATTTGTTTTCTCTGAACCATGCACTATTCGTTTTGTATCTCAATGTAATTCCAAGTGCACTTCTGCACGCTTTTTGTTTCATATTTATCTTATCAGTGTCCATGTTTCTGGTCCACGATGACACTGAAGTGGGTAATATGCATGGATCAAAACCTTCTTCAGGGACACTGGTATGTTGCTTTTCATGATCAAATAAAAAAAATCAAAAGAACTCAATATTACTCTCATCATTTTTATCCCCTTTCACCGTCAATGATTGGCCAAGGTTTATTTCCCACATGCTGAGTTTTCCAGTTATCGTTTAGATAACTTGTACACGTCTTGCTCATTTACAGTTTGTCCCACTTTGCAGCTTTATTTGTTAAGTTTTTCATAATTGCTTTTCATTCATTTGCATTCATTGTAAATGTAGTCGGCAAATCGGAGACGGCGAATACTGATGTAATGGGTTCCGGAGACACTTGTAGAGGTAACTTCTTTATTACAATACAACACTCCAACAGTCCTGACACTCTGTTACAGCCTAGGTACACAGCCTTGGTACACAGCCTAGATACACAGCCTAGATACACTACTCTGGCTACGCTCTGGGGTCCCACGGCTACAATTACCCTAGGTGAGGTTAATTGACCCGACCGAGCCAAGGTGCGGGTCTGGTCTCTGGCTTCCTCAGAACTCGCCCTTACAAAGATGTAGAGCCAGGAGTCCCAGAGTCCCACCACTGGCCCTCACAGCGTCCCGGCCCTTACAAGGACAAGCGGGACGAGGGGGTCCAGGGTCCTAAGCTGGCTGGCTGGCGGGTCTTGGGTCTTGAGCTGCGACTGGCCCCGATCGGCCAGGGAGTTGCCCTTTTATGCCTCGTCCCCAACGTGGGGTGGGGTTGTGTGCGCCCCCAGATATCCCACAGAGCACACACAGACCCCCCGTTGGTGGCGCCAAGGGGCTTAAGCGTCTGGGTTGCCTGGGATCCTAGCGCCTGGCGCCGAGGGCTTATCTGCCTAGGATCCCAGAGCCCCCAGCAGCCCCTCCCCTCTTATGGCACTACACTGATTACAAGTGTGCCTTTCAGTTTGCAATACAATTTTCTGAAAGTATATTTTATTTCCTTCAATAGCCTTTGTGAGGGAGAACTTCGTTGCTCGACTCAGGTTATGCATCACGGTTTTGATTTGAATTGCCTTAGTTTTAGCCCGGGAAAAATCTCAGGCGTACTCTTGAATCCTACAACTCTGATGTTTGATTCCTAGAGAGAGTGACAATAATTTTACTTATAATCTGCACTAATCGTTTACTCTCGTAGAGAGAGAGAGAGAAGAGAACGACTTGAAGGCACGGTGAGCCAGACAAGCGGGAAAGGAGTTAACAACATTTGTGTGATTCACCAAACCTCGTCTCCACAGTGCTGGATTACAGGCGCGTGGCTACCACCACCACCTGCCAATACCCCCCACTCCTCTGTAATTACTGTCATCGTTCCTGGATAAAATGATTTTTTTTCTCAATTTAAACGTATGGACTTTTCTCACCTCACTTAGTCCTACTCTCTCTGCCCCAATTTATTTCTTCCAGTTCTTGTCTCCAAATCAACAAGCCTTGAACGGCAATTGCGGGATTTAACAATTGCCAAACACATTCCTGCAGAGGGAGCTGGTAGGAACGTTGGGTTGCTAGGTCAATGGCCAGGGTCAACGGTGGCGTGGTGTATTCCGCAAATATGCCCGACTGTGAGGGTGGGCACAAGCCGGCGTGAGTAGGTTAAACGTTGAGTTTTATAAGGGCACCACGGGGTGACAAGCCCCTCCCCACCCAGCCCCACCCACCCCCCACCCAGCCCCACCCTCCCCACCCAGCCCCTCCCCACCCTCCCATTTTTGGATGCACGACGGACAGATGGACGGACACAATAATCCCGTGGGCTGGTGTAACCAGGAGGTTCCTACCAGTAAAACAATGTATCCAGTAAATCTTAGCACCCTCTGCGCCTTCACTTCCATAGCCTGGTGAAAACCATAGCAGCCGGGATTGGAGGCTGTGCTGTAAGGCAACTTGATCATGATGATGGTTTCCTGCGGGTAGGTGAAGGGAGCTTTATTTCTCGCTTCTCACCAAGTGTCCGATTGGTGTGGGTTTTTTACAGAGGAGTGGGGGGTATCTGGGAGAACTACTCAGGTCATTTAAAGGCTCTTAAGATACTTTGTCACGCCAAGGTATTACTTAATTCAAGAAGAAATATAAAGAATGGTGGTTGACACTAATTTGTTCTAAATCGAATTATTCTAAATCAAATTTCAAGATGACATTAGATGGCAGAGCTATGCGATCTTGATCGAGTAGGCTGTATGAGATTGCTTAACATTTTCAGTTCACGTTATGTTTCCAGAAACAAATAATTATGATTACATCTGGTTTGGCTTTAAAAACAAAAAAAGACGTTTTATACGTATAATTGATAGTATTATGTAAGCCTCAATAAGGAATGGTTAATACAATTTTTAAAGTATCACAAAATAATTATTCCTGCTATTTATTCTTTTAAATTTAGTTTTATTTATTGTAGAGTTTAAAATGTGCAGTCTGCTTATTTATTATTTTTTACCCCACAATGCTCATGATTAGTTGTGTG